GGGTATGACAATTGCAAGTGCGATGAGATAAATGGGTGAGTTGGCGGTTGGAAATTTGTAACAGAGGGTGAGGCTGATGGTAGGTTTGATCAAAAAGTCTGGTTACAAACCTTAAACAAGCGGTTTTTTATGGGAAAAAAAATAAATTAATCCCGGTAATAAAATTAGGAACCGATTGCAACCATGAATGAAATATAGACATTATAAGACAGACAAATTAATTTCATCGCACCTTATTTCATAGTTGTAAACTTACAATTCTTACCATCTTTATCAAGATTTAAAAAGAATGGAAAAAAAAAAAAAACACACGCACACTATGAAAAAATGTTGGAAGATACTAAATCTAAAAACTAGGCTCAAGAAGTCAAGAGTTTAAAGATGGGCTTACCAAGCAACCCTTAGCTCAAAGTAATTGGCAATAACAAGCATCTAGCCCAAACTCTTTGAGGCCTAACCTCTTGGTTGGGCTTATATCTTCTATACTATCAATCAAGACCCCAAAAGGCATAGATTAATAAAAGGCTTTGTCATTTGGTACTATTGCAACCTTTACCCTTTATGTATGTGATCCAGCACAACTTCATGTATGTGAATATGTGATAAGGCATGAAGAATGATAATTGTTAGTTTATTTCATCATTTCAAGCCAACCAAACAACACAAACTTGCATTTCCTAGAACGTAGCAAATGAGCCATTCTGATAAATTTATAACTTACTCATATTATCCTTAGTAAGTTCACAAAAATTCATCTGACGAAAACCACGCTAGAAATATTATACTTCATACTAAGTATTATTAAAATATGCAAATTAATTAAGAGTTCTAAACTAACAATTGCCCCTTAAGATATAAAGGGATAATAATATGATATGAAGGGATGCAAATCAATTAAATATTATTTAATAATAATTTTGGAATAATACGGTCAACTTTAGAGGGTTTTAAAAAATAATCCTCATAAAAGATTTTGGTGGCTTTCAATCCCTTCTACAAAGCCACCATATAGGCATATAAACCAAATAGTACGTATTAAAACTACCACCCAAACCAAAGGTGTAAACACACGTTGATACAAACTTCTCCGTAAGAGCTATCCCCTATGCGCGCATCACGCGCGTAGACCACCCTAGTAACAATAAATTTGCGTTATGAATGTGGTTGGGTCCAAATTGATGTAGAGTATAGGCAGAGCATTATTATATATGTGCTTAATTCATGTAATTTAACAACTTGATAATAATTAATAAAGGGGTCAATTATATTCACATTAATGCGATTAGGTTTATCCGTTTATGCATTAATACAGTAGTATAAAAGAAATTGCGGTTAGAACTAATGACGAATTATAGGAGCATCTACCAAATTCTTATTCCATGAGTAGTTTCTGGCATGCAATCTTTTGCAGGACCGTTCTTTGGTGAAGCAATACACAAGAACTTATTCTTAAGTTCTTTTGTCTGCCCAAATTTATAGTTTTTTAGTAACGATTTCCATAGAAAATGATTAGAGGCCTATTTATTTTGTTGATGTGGACGGTAGGGATGTCAATGGGGCGGGGCTGGGCGGATGTTGGCCTTTCCATCTCCATCTAAAATTTTCATACACATTCTCATCCCCATCCCCATCCCCATCCCCGTGGCGGGTCTAAAATTCATCCCCATCTCCGCCCCGGCGGGTACAAAATTTAAACCATTCCCGCCCTAACCCCCACTTGGACATCCACCCCCACCTAATCCCCACCTAAGACCCGCCTAATCCCCGCCTTCCAAATACACAATCCTTCATAATTAATAAAGATTGTAAAAGGAAAAAAAATTATTGTTAATATTACACATTTTTGGTTTATAATATAAGTATATTACAAAGTATTATATTTACTATTTTATTTTACATAATTTTTTTTATAAAATAGTATAAAAGTATATAATTTTGTTTTTAAAAATATATGGATGTGGGGATGGAGGCGGGTACGAAGTAGGGTGGGTGGGGATGGGGCGGGTGGGGCGAGGCGGGAATGGGTCGGGTACAACTTAAAATCCACCCTCACCCCATCACCCATGGCGGGTATGGTTTTTACCTCCATCCCCACCCCATCACCCGCCAAACCAAGACCCATCCCTGCTCCGTTAGGGCGGGTCTCCTATTTGACCCGCCCCACTGACATCCCTAGTGGACGATTGCTGGAAATTTGTACTAAAAAAGGGCGTAATTAAGAAATTTTGATATGTTCTAACAAATTTATAGGTAATTATTTAGTTTTCCGTATTAAGTAGTATATTATTTCAATTACCTTAACTTGTAGAGTTCTGACTTCTGAGGGTTGTACACTTGTACATGGCACTTGAGATCGAACTATTTTGACGTATTGCAGTATTGATGTGTACATTTATTAACTTCTACAATCCCAATATATATGCATTGTTTTTACCAAAATTCCTAATGCCGTGGGCAGATTATGGTATGTGTGCATATGAATTAAACTTAAGAAAATCTTTGCCTGCAAATCTGCAATTTAAAAGATTTGACCTCATGAGCCATGACCTTAAAGATGTGATCGATATTAACTTTACATTAGACATAAATACTTAATTATAATACTGTAGAAAGTAATACTTAATTTTATAATACGAAGTATAAGCTAAGGGGTGAGACAGTGGTGTCCTCCTTAAATATACTTAAAATATTTACTTTTTTAAAACGATATTACTTTATATGTGTAATTTAGAAATATAAAGCACGAATCGCATGCATATAGTTCTAGTATGTATTACGTAAATTAAAGGATGTTGCTATTTACCGCCGACACAGAACATGGGAACGGGCCACCATTAAGTTAGGGAGAGGAAAGATATACGAGTAGCCTTCTGCCTTTACATAAAGAGGTGAAACATGCAAAGGCAGATGCAAAGGCCACATATTTGAGAGGTTGGGTCCCATTTTCTAATGTCTAACAAGTAGCATTCATAATAAGCTTTCCAAATACTTTATAATTGTACGCGTTTTTCTGGATACTCTAAATCATAATCAGCATCTACCTTTGATGGATACTGGATTATATTATGGGGTCATCTCGATCTATTCTTCAATTTTTCTGTTCATGATCTTAGTTGTCTCCGTATAAATCCTATCTTATGTGGACTTTTTTTGGTAGTGCTTATGTCCACTTGTGCTCTTAGATACGTCGAGTTGATTATAGGTCGGGTCAATAAAACTACTTTTGTCAAATGAGAAGTGTATTTAAAAACTTGGAGTCAAGCTAAGGGCAAGTCAAACTTTATATCATTAAGGGTAATCAACTCAAAAAGTACCCAAAAAAATGGTGATGAAGGTAATTTGTTGTAATGGAAGCTAATAGTTTTCATTGATCCAAATCATGCACAAAACAAAACATGAAAAAAAATGCACAAGGTTGTTATACAAGTGTAAAAAAAAAAAAAAAAAAAAAAAAAAAAAAAAAAAAAAAAAAAAAACTCATACAAAGTAAAATCTACACACCAAAAGAAGACTGTTTAATCTTTAAATACTCTAATAAAGTATGATATAGAATCAAATTCCTAATTGCTCAACAATTTAGATTTTGTTAAGACAGTCTATATGTAACTATGACATACAAGAAGCTCATTTATCGAAATGGTCAAATTATACATAACCAGAGAAATTATCAATTTGTTTTTAGGTAGAGAGAGGCATAAAATCCAAACAATTTATCTGGATTTATTATACAATTTTCTTGTTTCAAATTGAGGTATAACTACCAAGCAAAGCTTGAAATAGAGGTAAGGATTGAGCCTTCCAACCTTGAGGTTACCCAATAGGTATATTTTGAGGGTAGAGATTTCCCTTATCTTTAATTTTCTCCTTACTTTCAAAGTGTCTAGTCTGCAAACTCGACCGACTTGACGTGTGAGAGATTCCTGTTTGATATACAGGGCAGTTTATTTTACCTAAAAAATATCCCTACCTTTTAAAAAGTTTGAGTTCACTCTTATGAATAGTGCTTGGACAATTATACCCTATAAAATGTTTATTTACTTACTTGCCCTCATTAATGTTAATTGTTTTTTTTTTTTTTTTTTTTTTTTTTTTTTTTAAACAATAGTGTGCTTACATTAATATCCCTAATAATATTTGTTTATATAGTTTCCCTTATTAATCCTACCAACAACTAAAGTTATAGCACAAGGCTACATCAGAAAAACTTCCCGGACATGACTAGTTACGGTGCGCGCATTAGCCACCCTAGTATTAACAAAAAATCGAGGTACAACTAATCAACATGAGCTTGGCTAGGGAACTCGACTCGTAAAATTCTAAATTTAGTAGAGTTGATCATGTCTAACTTGGCTTGGCTCGAAAATTGCCCGGGTTAGAGCGGAATTTTCGGGCCCAAAGTCTGGCTTGAGCTTTTTGGAGAAATGGGGATTTGGGCAATGTAAAATTTAATTTTCAATTATAATTTTGATCTGAACCAAAAATGGACTAATAAGTCCACTATTTTATACTCGAAATAGCAGGTTTGGACACAAGTTTTTTGCCCAAATGGCCCATGACCAAGTTTATTTGTTTACGATTTAGGTTGGATTTTTTAAGCATAGAACATATTACAAGGCTTAATTAGAAGAGAAAAAAAAAAGGTTTGTTATATAACTGGGGTTAAACACGACCCAAATTTTTATCACTAATATGGTGCAAAATTTCATCGAATTGACAATGTAATCGAGTTCAAAAGTAAAAGGCATGTTTTTTTTAAAAAAAAATTTACCAACTAAAACACACCTAAAATTAATTTTGACACACCCATACTCAAACAAGGTCCACTAGAGTCGTCAAAGACTCGCGTTACTTAGTCCAAGCAATGAAGCAAAAGCCCCCTACTCGCGTTCCATCAGTGGGCCTTAATAGGTCCACCCCTGTATATAGCACATCTTGTTGATTGAATCAGATTGCACTGTATAACACACAATACTATGGTTAACACAGTAAAACATTAAATATAACATATACTTCTATAAATACTCAAAGCTATCTAGCTGTGATATTTATTTAGAGTTCCAAATATCAAATTAATCATAATAATCCTCCTCTATAATAAATTCCTTCACCTGTCACCCTGCCTTTTTCTACACCTATTAATGCACCCCTTTTAACAGGGGAAACTTCTATATATTCACTTATTTCCATTTTATATAATTCATATCATATACTAAATAGTTTTCATACCATATAATAATAAATGGGGAAATTATTAAAACTCCCATTGGCATTAATCTTGTTAATGTTGGTGATTAATATGATAAGTGTTACATCAGCATATTCTGATGAAGAAATGTTGGGGGCAGAATGCCTGAATGTTCCAGCTTCTGTTTTTACTGATACTTTGGAGGCTACAATTGATGGTGTTCTTAAGGTTGCATCAATGGTTGCCAAATTTGCTGGTGTTTTTGGTGATTTTAGAGTTTCTAATGCAATTTCTGATTGTTTGGATTTGCTTCAATTGTCTCAAGATGAGTTGAGTTGGACTCTCTTTGCTTCTCAACATGGTAATTTCTTCTTATCTCTCTTATCCCGAGCTAGACTAGCTAGCTAGCTAGCTTCTTTTGAATTTTGATATAGAAACGAGTAATTTGTTATTACATTAATAGATGTCAGTTAACTTAGGTGGTTAAGTTATTTTTCGGCATTGTGAATTTGTGATGATTAAGGATGAGATTCTATTTGTTTCACAAAATTTTAAAGTACTAGCACATTTAAGAATTAGTTAATACTCAACGAGTCAGGGCCGTCTTAAATATTTTGCAGTACTAGGAGCTATATATGAAGTACATAGTATAATGATGATACCACTACTTAGTTTGTTACTTCCATATCTATAATACACCATAGTATTTTTGTATGGAATTTATTGTTAAAATGATATATACAAGTATATATTTATGATTTTTGGGAGAGGGGTCTACAAGATATGAGAAGCTATGTATAGACACCCTCATTTATGGGCATGTTACTATGTTAGTAATCATACTTCCTCAGTTCTAGTAATATTGCAATAATTGAAATTTTGCACTATTCATTATGCTTGTTTGACTACAAATTATGATTTATATGTAAAGTAAAATATAGTCATATAGGGTCTTGTTAGATTCGTCTCGTAAAATACTTTCACAATATCAACTTTTTATAATTTTACTCTTATATAATTATAGATATCATATAAAATGTGCTTTAAGATGCGTAATTTCATCTTTGTTGCAATAATTGAGAGGAAGTATGATAGAATTTAATCCTTTAACATCTCTATAAAATTAGAGTTTTTGGGGAATTGTGAAGAAAAATGTACGTACTACGTAGAACGTATGATTTTGGTGGATTTTGATGTAGTAGTTCACGACATATTTACAATTATTGCGTCTTTTTTTTAGCAGGGTATTGCGTCGGTAATGGTCATGATATACTTCGTATGAGATATGACTACATGCGACCTTTAAAGAAGTTGAATATAAGCATTAAGCATATTTTTTAGAATATTCTTACTATAGACTTATAAATGTATTACAAAATGATGCATTAATCAAGTGTTGTCAATATTAAATCGATGTTTAATATTTTCAGTTTTAATAATGTATTTCATATAAAGGTGTAAAAAAATCATAATAGAAATGAAGTTTAGATGGGTTGAAAGAAAAAAAAAATTCATATGAAATGTCGGTGAAGTTAAGACCTACAAGTATATATACCAATGTATTTCCTCAAAAAAAAAAATAAAAAAAAAATAAAATAAAATAAAATAAAATTACCAATGAATTACTACTTATTACTTCGTATTATTCAAATTATCAAAGAGCCGACCAATGCAAAAATGTTTGAATTGTGGTCTATTTTCAACATTTGTTTATACTACCTCCGTTACATATTAGTTGCAATTTTGGAATATTTTATATCTCACAAATAATACCCAAAGTTGCAACTAATATGTAATGAAGGTAGTATAAAATAATCTAGCTAAGGCATTTACATAGCAAATTGTGTTTTTTGGTGCATAAAAGAAAAAAAAAAAATGCATACGTAAAATTATTACTCTTTTTTTTCAAACATATATTCCTTTGGGAGATTTGCACCACAAAATTCGTTTACTCTTTTTACTGCATGGTGCAGTCTTTTTCTCCATCTTACCTTTTTTTTTTCTTCTAAAAACAATAAATTATATCTTCATTTGGCTTTCGGTGTTAGATTCAGATTGTGCATTACTTGAACGAGAAAATCATCAAAGATTTTTAAAATATATATTTTAAAAAAAAAATATCATCTTTATGATGCCTATGCAAATTAACTCAAAGAAATTAGAATAAATATTATTAGTTAGTTAGAGGTAATAATTGATTTATCATTTATGAAATAACAAGATCTCTAAATTTATCAAGAATTCGTTGGGATTTAGAGATAGACATACTCAATGTAGGTTGGTATTTATTGTCCATGTGCTGATAAAATGGTCCTCTCTATGCATGTCTATTAGAAGTACTATTGCTACAATGCCTACAAGTGCACAAATAGTTCGCTATTTTGAGTTTGAATTGCACGGAGTACTATGTGGTATATTGATGATCGCATATTAATTTTTCTTCTATAAATTTAAAAGATATACAAGATGTTAATCTCGAGATGTGCATATATCAGATAAATTTATATGTAGCTCTCAGGGCTATGAATTAGTATTTAATAACTTTTTTTATACGGTATTAATTTAAAAATACATGACAAAATCATGCGCAAATCAGTATAATTAATGTTAATATTTTCATTTGTTTTTTTTTTTTCCATTTTTAGCTTTTTATATATAGCCCTTAGGATTATGTATAGCATCTCCAAATTTATACTTGTATAAGGACTTCCTTGCTTTAACTTGTTAGAAGTGTTTGTCAGTTTGGGATTTTAGAGCCAATAGAGATTACACTATTCGTGTAGTTTTCATCATGTAGTCATTTTCTAGTCAATCTGAATTATCGACCTCGGCGTGTGTCGGTTTGTCCCATATATTGGTATGGAAAATCAACAATCGTAATGCTATAATATAATTTCGAGGTCTAAATGGGACAAAATGGGTTACATCCTTCAACAAATTCCATGCAATTTGTGACATTTGCATTTTATTATTAAGTAATATGGACAATTTACATGAATGTGATTTGACTTTAACCTTGATTTGAACATATAGGTAAAGGCAATGGGACGGGTGACCTAGCTTCTGATTTGAAGACATGGCTAAGTGCTGCCCTGGTCAATCAAGAGACTTGCCTAGAAGGATTCGAAGGAACTGGCAGCATGGTCAAATCCATAGTCACGGGCAGCATCAATCAAGTCTCCTCATTGATCCAAGACATCCTCCACATGGTCCACCTAAACCCCCGTCCTATACGGGGTTCTAAACCAGGTCGGGTAAATGATACCCGACCTGGTGGTGGTGGGAGGCGATTATTGGCTAAGGCCACAACCGCTAAAGACGGGTTTCCTTCTTGGATAAGGTCAAATGACCGAAAGTTATTACAAGTCTCTGGAATGTCGAGCCCAAATGTAACGGTTGCTCTAGATGGGAGCGGTAATTTTACTCGTATTATGGATGCAATTGAAGCTGCCCCGAGTCATAGTACTGATCGATTTGTGATTTATGTAAAGAAAGGGGTGTATGACGAAAATGTGGAGATCAAGAGAAAGAAGACCTATATTATGATGTATGGTGATGGAATGGATGTGACAATTATAACGGGTAATCGAAGTGTCGTTGATGGTTGGACCACTTACCGTAGTGCCACATTTGGTAAGCACATGAAAACATTAATTTTCTTGATTTTTTTTGAAAGAAAACATTAATTTTCTTGATATTTATAACTATATTCTTAAATTTCACAAATAAACATTTAATACGAGTTCTAGACATTAGCCTTTACCGTAGCTTTCGAGGTAAATAAAGTCCGTAGTATTAACAATCAACTCATTAAGTTTGTCCCATATATTATCTTTTTGGGTTGACCCTTTAACTTTATCTATATTATTATTCGAAGAACTATGTATGTAGTTATAAGAGGATTCATTTTACCTTCACATTTACAGATTTACTACTTATCTAATAATTAAACAACTAGATACACCTTAATGGAGCAACGTAAAAGGGACAAAGAGAGTACAAACTTAGTTATAAATGTATGGTACTCCGTAGTACATTTACCATGATTACTTTATGAATGTTGCATATATAACCAATTAGCCATGCATGCGTGTTCGGCTGTACGCGGCTTTATTATTGGTAAAGTGTTTGTGTGGGGGTGGGGGAACAATAGAACATCGATTTGGATTGATGCTTGTGTTTTTCTTTCACTTTTGACCATTGCTTTTTTGCTTGGCCAATAAATGTAGATACATAACTATCTACATTTGGTGCCCCATGTTTTTCCTAGATTCTAATAATAAGATATTATTGTTTAAAAAAAAGAAGATATTATTAGTTTATTACTTTACTCTTCCTTTAGTCTAACAAAAAGTTAAAAAGACAAATAAAGTAATTGGAGCACATAAACATTGTGCATGGATGCATGGATACAAATCCTTGGCAGTGTGTCAATATAGACGAATACATTATTGGGTGGCTCCATGTATGACAAGTAATAAAACTCCAATTACATTAATTGATAAATGCATTGTTGTTGGTAGTGAAGAGGAGTTGAGATGATATATATTTTAATTTAGAATGATCACTGTTCACTAATATATCTGATTGGATATAATGCAGCTGTTACGGGAGCTGGATTCATAGCACGAGACATGACATTTCAAAACACGGCTGGACCAGAAAAACATCAAGCTGTTGCATTTCGATCAGACTCCGACCTATCAGCCCTCTATCGGTGTGCCTTCCGTGGATACCAAGACACACTCTATGCACACGCGAACAGGCAGTTCTTTCGAGAATGCACAATCACAGGCACCGTAGACTTCATGTTCGGTGACGGGGTAGCCGTGTTCCAAAATTGCCTAATCCAAGCTAGGCAAGGCCTCCCAAACCAAAAGAACACCATCACGGCCCAAGGTCGCAAAGACCCTGGTGAGAACACCGGGTTCTCAATCCAATTTTGCAACATTACCGGAGACTCTAGCCTTACAATGACTAATACCTCAACCAACACCACCACGACGTACACGTATTTGGGCCGTCCTTGGAAGGCTTTTTCTAGGACAATCATCATGGAGTCATACATAAGTGGTGTGGTAAGGCCAGAAGGGTGGTTGGAGTGGAATGGTAATGTGTCTTTGGACACACTTTACTATGCTGAGTACATGAATTATGGGCCTGGAGCTTCTCTTGGATCCAGGATTAAGTGGCCTGGATATCACATTTTAAATAGTTCAGCCCAAGCAGTTAACTATACAGTGGCCCAATTCATTGATGGAGATTTGTGGTTGCCAACAACTGGTGTCCGATTTGCAAGTGGGCTTTCTGCTGTTTAAGAGAAAAGAGGGTATATAATTTTTTTTTTTTTTTTTTTTTTTTTTTTTTTTTTTTTTTTTTTTATTTAAAGATCAGCACATAAGAATTCGTGTTTTTAACGACTGATGATCATGATTACACGAATTCTTGTAGTGTGGAGAAAAAGGATGCCTAAATTATTTTGCATGTAATTTGACAAATGAAAGTCAAGGTACACATATCTTTGCACTTAATTTGGGGTTGGGGGTACCATAATTTATTTTGAAGATTATGGTAGGATATATATTAAGTTGTTAAAGCATATACATGAATTATGAAGAGTAATCTTCTCAATGTAATATTTTACATCCATGTTCTCAATGTAATTTGAGAGATAATACACTACTAATACAAAGTATCATACTTCGTAAAGTGACTTCTAATTTTTACCAGTTTTTGCACAAAACATTTTTACACTGTTGATTGATGATTTTATATCTTGTAAAATATTGCATAAAGCTTTTATTGCATTGTTTATTATCTTGAATCAACTACGGTGTATTTTTTTTTTTTTTTTTTTTTTTGAAACCAACTACGGAGTATATATAAATGACTTTCTTAAATTTTACATACGATCTTATGTATCAAGTAAGCCTATGAAGTATGAACACAATAGATTAGTATGAGCAATAAATAATAATGTTTACATGCACATTTAGCTAGATGGTTGATATAGTACAAAGTATAAAGTAAGCCGCCCATAATTGATTTATATAGTCTATCATGAAATACTTAAAAAAAATGTCCACCGACAAATAATATGGCTTGATATAGCTGAACTCTTGCACTAAGCTGAAAGAATACACATGTATTGTTGCCAAATTTTTTCATTCAATTCACTAATACATACTGGTATTAAATTTCTTCAATTATTTGTCGTATTTTCTTGATGAAACATTATGGCATGCAAGTTCAGTCTTTTGTTGGATCTGTTCCTCTTTCCCCTCCACATAATTGTGTCAGGATATATAATGTCTGTCTTACATTCTTCATTGCTTATGATAATTTATTGTTCAATTATAGGTTTTGATTTATTACTTTACACTTTATATAGTACAATCAATCTAGTTAACTTTGTTATTGCACATAGTTTTGTACATGGAATTCAGTTGTTTGGACAGTTACATACTAGAGTACTAGACTGCTGTAGAAAAGAATAGTTTCATGTCATTGTACATGGTAAAGCTTTGTCTATCTTCAGACCGATCTCATTTATAAACTATCATTATATTCATCGTGCATTACCAACTTTGGATGTGGTATAGGTTATATTATTGGGAATGAAGTTTTATGAAAATTCCGCATATCTATTAATAGAAAAGGTTTTAAAATAAGTCTCATTTAAAACGTACAATATTTTACATAATCATATATTTTACAATATTTGTATGCATATTAGATAAAGGTGGTAAATGTCTCATTTTGATAGGTTTTCTAATAATTACTTATTAGGAGTTTAGAACAATTTGTTTAGATCTTATTCAAGTGGCTTGATCTTAATATGGATTAAGTTAACAAAGGTATATATATATATCCGAAGAAATTCTCTCAAATATTTTTTTTTAAAAAAAAGGTCATTGTCACGGGTTTCTAGTTGTGAATACCAATGCAACTTCCTCATCTAGCATGGGTTTCATCTACAACAAGTAGAGAATCAATTTTAGCAATGTCAATGATTCCTTTTTTTATCTTTATTGTCCTTAGTTCCTTACTAGAATACATAAAAATGGCATAAATTAATGCAAAGTTGCATAACTTTTAGTGATTACCATTTATCCTTGGTTTCAAAGATACCCATTTTTAACAATCAATCTTACTTGAAAATTCATGCAAAATTTTTTCTTCCCCAAAACATGATATAATCAACCAACTTTTAAAAAATTAATGGATAATGATATACGCAGGCCTAAGGTCACATATAAGCATTAAGTACATTTTCTATAAGAATACTATATAAATTTATAATTTATGACAAAAGCACGCACATATGGGTAATTGGGCATAGTTATTACTTAGATGTTCTCAATTTTTTTTAGTTTCTTATATGCAGTCCTGTATATACCATTTTTCTAAATTAAATTACTATTTATATTATTCTCTTAGCTTCATTTCAACTCTCTTTTGATTCTCTCCTCATTTGATCCCCCCTTTAGCATGGCTTCCTCCCTCTCAAAATCTCCTCATTGTTTCCTACTTTTATCTTTAATCTTCATAATTTCCATACAATTTGCAAACTCCTTAAACAACAACAATGAGATGATACTACCTCCTAAATTAGAATTTAAATCTTTATGTAAAACAACACCTTACCCAAATGATTGCTTAAACACCCTAAAACTAACCATTTCCTTAAACCTACCATTAACCCTCCTAAATTTCCTCTTACAATCTCTTCAAAATGCATTAAGTGAAGCTACTAAACTCTCCTCACTTTTTGATGCTACAACTAATTACAATCTCATTGAAAAACAAAGAGGATCACTCCTAGATTGTAAGGAACTTCACCATATATCACATCTTTCATTACAAAAATCGGTGTCTAAGGTAAAAGCATCAAACTTAACCGATGCTAGGGTTTTCCTTAGTGCCGCCCTTTCTAACAAGGAAACTTGCCTAGAAGGTCTTGCCTCGGCTTCCGGCCCTTGGAAGCCACTTCTAGTGAGCTTCATTGCGAACACTTACAACCATGTTAGCAACTCATTATCCATGCTAAGCTCCGACTCTCCTCAACCATTGTCACCCTCGTCGTGGTCACTAAATAGTAAGATCTTGGGTGACAATGACTACGACGATGGTAACAATGGTGGTGACGATGATGGTGGTGCCGGATATGAAGATGATCTAAGTGAGACAATTATAGTTGCAGCTGACGGAAGTGGGAATTTTACAAGTGTACAAGAAGGTGTTGATTTTGCACCAAATAATAGCGAGTTTAGGACTTTTATTTATGTAAGAAAAGGGGTTTATGAAGAAAATGTGGAGATTCCAAGTTATAAACCTAATATTGTTTTGCTTGGTGATGGAAGTGATGTTACTATGATTACTGGTAATAGAAGTGTGGCTGATGGTTGGACTACTTTCAGATCAGCAACTGTTGGTAATTTTCTTATACTTTTTAACTCTTTTTTTCCTGAATTTTACTTTGTATTTTTAAATGATTAATCCTTAAATTGAAAACTTAGACCAATTACATACTTGGAAAGTACATACACTTGTAGAATTTTTGGATTTTTTGTTCTTGGAATGTTGTGAAGGGAGTGTAAATATTTTACTAATTTCATCTGTTTCTTTTTATTTAATTTGTCCTATTTGAAATATTTCATTTGTAGTAGAGTGAAAAACTTTGACCATGATTATTCATCGATATATATAAGAAATAAAAAAAGAAATAAAAAAAAATGTCCACGTGAGATCTATCTAGTTAATTGTATTTGTCTTGATGTATACTTTAAGAACATTATATTTTGCGTTATTTAGTAACATGTAAATAAAGATATTGTTTTTCAAAGATATACTTTAGAAACCGTAAAAAAAAAAAAAAAAAAAAAAAATATAAAACCGGGAGAGTATTAGAATATCTTGAATGTGGTTGGATCCACACAAACCCCTTGTTTATTTCACTTAATTAAGGACGGGTGGTAATCTAAATTAAGACTCCACGAGTGCACACAGTGATGGCTTCTTCCTTCTAGAGTAACACATCCTTACAACACAAGTGTCTTAGTATATTCGAATTTACTAAGGTAGTGAATCTGGTGAAAGTTCTGTCAAAAAACAAAACAAAAAAAAAAAAAAAAAAAGAAGAAGAAGAAGAATCTGGTGAAAGTATGTGTAAGCTTAGGTTCACACACCTGCAATACATGCAACACAAACAAGTTTCATATCTAGTGTACAGAAACAAGTGTAATACACTCTATGAAATAACACCCAACATGTTCCCGATGTACATATATAATCTCGTGTAAATGCGTACACACAGTACAATTATATACGTGTACAAAGTATATGATCTTGAAAATATACTTAACACCTGAAATCAAATCTCGTCAATATATACTTACATCCACACTATTTTTGCATTATTAATTAATTTATTAGAGTTGATGACTTTATCATTACGTAATAAGCATTATTTTTTGTTGTCACATTCATTCTAACCAACCAAAGTTGATGGTATAATGCAGCGGTTTCTGGAGAAGGATTCTTAGCACGAGACATAACCATCGCAAACACAGCAGGCCCCGAAAAAGCCCAAGCAGCCGCCCTAAGAATAAACGCAGACTTAACAGCAGTCTACAGATGCAACATCTTAGGATACCAAGACACACTATACGTTCACTCATTTAGACAATTCTACCGAGAGTGCAACATATATGGGACAATTGACTACATATTTGGCAATGCCGCGGTTGTCCTCCAAGGATGTACCATAGTGTCACGAATGCCACTCCCTGGCCAATACACGGTCATCACAGCTCAGTCACGAGTCATGCCTAGCGAAAACACAGGAATCGTGCTCCAAAACTGCACGGTGCTAGCCACCCAGGAGCTAAATGGAAATAAAAGTCGCGTTCGGAGTTACTTAGGGAGGCCGTGGAGGCCATATGCTAGGACGGTGTATATCGAATCGTACATTGATGAGTTTATTGATCCAAAGGGGTGGATAAAATGGTCATCAAATGATTTTGATGATATGCAAAATAGTTTGTATTATGGAGAGTTTGGAAATAGAGGGCCAGGTTCAATAACAGATGGTAGAGTCAATTGGGGAGGGTATCATGTTATGGATTATTATGATGCAAGTAATTTTACAGTTCACGAGTTTATTGTTGGGGAACAATGGTTAGATTCTACTTCATTTCCCTATGATGAAGGGATTTAATAATGAGTATTATGGTGACTTCTAAAAGTGTCAATTTGTTGAAAATTGATACTCCTTTCATTTTTTTTAGCTTGTTATAAATTCTTATATCTCTTTTGATCAAAAGATTGATCCGTTGTTATAAGATCATTAAACATATATATATATATATAAAGAAATTTTTATCCGACAAATACATTAAAATTGAACTAAATGAAAATCATCTCATGTAACAAAGCTACGATCGTTGTTATTGCATACAATACATTAAACTTCTTTAGTTATTCAATCATTCAAGCACATGGGTTGCTCATCGGTCAAAACTTGAATTGGAGTGGATTGAAGATCAAAATTTTGAGATTAACAAATAAACCCAAAGACTAGATTGATTATGCTAGGATTAAAAACAAATTATAATCAGGCCAATAAAATCGGTTCGAAGCACGAAATGATTTCGACTTGAGGCTGTTTTGTATTTTTTACTTTCTTTAAAGAATACTAAAATGTCTTTTTTTTTTTTATTGAATGAAATACTAATATATATATATATATGTGTGTTTATATCATTATTAAAACGTAAAATCAAGTCGGTTTAAGAATATTTTGGACCAAATAATATTAAAAATTTATACGGAGTATTTTTTGACCCAATATTGCACTTGCTCTCTTCAGTTTGGTCCCATATGAAGCTAATCCAATCTAATCCAATATTCCGATCCAATCTAGACTAGTTGTTGAGCACCCCTACATTCACATATATTTCTATATACAATTATCATTCAAAATTTGGATGAATTATTTGGTTTAACTAATGCATATTACAATTCATGATGACTTTAAATCTTTAATCTATCTCCCTAAATGCTATGATCACCCAAACTTCACCTCTTTGGTATTTATAGTACAATTCAATCAATAATTTGGGAAAACAAAGTGAAGAAGGGTGTACACAAAATATACGTAAAAATCGGGTTGAAAGGAAACCTTAACTAACTTTCAAACAATATATTCCCATAATAAGTAACTATTTTTCATTTCAATTTTGTACAACACCCCTAAAACTTCTCTAATCCAGATCTCTCTAAGTTTCTCTTCTTAAAGAAAACAAAATAAAGAACCAAATTAGATAAAATGAAGGAAACAAAACACTAAAATAAGACTAATTTTAAAGATCAAAAAATTGTTAACAGGTTGGGAGGAGGAAAAGGAGAGAGCCAAAAAAAATAAAAAATCATTCATTCCTGCCTTAGCTAGAGGCATGCCATGCTAGCTAAAACAACGGCAGAAGGCCTCTCTCTTTAGCTCCTCCTGCCCTCTCAACCATCTCTTTGATTCGATCTTTTGTTCGATACAAACATGGCCTTTGAGGAGTTTAGCCAACTATCTAAACGTAGGAGAGAAGAACGCGCACAAAAATACAAGAAGAAGATATGCTTCGCGGTAATTTGTAGTATATTGTTCCTCCTTTGTATAGCTGGTGGAGTTTTTGCATTCTTTTATTTTAGCGATAAGAAAAATGATGCATCTAAAGACGATGGTTCCTCTCCAGGAGGGGAAGAGCAGACGAAAGTCACGAGTAAGATAATACAAATGTTATGTGATCCTACGGACTATAAGAAGAAATGTGAGCATACCCTAGCCAATGTGGTTCGTACTAATGCCTCTAACCCTTCTATTGCCCCTAGGGTGATCATCAAAGCCGCCATCTCTGCAGCCGCAAAAGAGATTGTCAAGGCTATTAATAAGACCGAAAAATTTAAGTTTGATAAACAAGAGGATAAGGCTGCATATCAAGTTTGCAAGAAGCTCTTCCAGGTAAAAGAAAATGATTGATTCACACGTAAATTTAAAATCTATCCATACCAAAATATTAATTTAGAATAATATTCCTTAAATAAGTTAATGACAAATTAATTACCTAGAAGAATCTAATGCTCTAGAAAAATTATGCAGCATCAATTATATTTTGTGCATTAAAAGCTCTTTTATAATCATTTATATGTTCATTAAGGGTATGTACCTAGTGCGTTTTAAATTTACATTCTAACTTATAGATTTAAAATTTACAATGCATGACACATCGTGAAAAATACCTATTTTGAAGGTGTACTCCTAATGCATTAGGTTTACATAAAATGATATACATTAAAATTAACAAATAGTCATGTAACATACATCATTTTACATACTACATGCACCTATAATCACATAATTATTTACAACCCTAATGATAATCCCATAACAAAAACAGGATTCGGTAGATGAATTATCCGAGTCACTCCATCACGCGGAACATGAGGTTAAGAACTACCATACCGAGATTAATGACCTTAAGACATGGTTAAGCGCGGTGTATTCTTACCAAGAAACATGTATCGATGCATTCGATAATGGGGATATCAAGAACAAGATCAAGGGTGCAGTGAATGCTTCTAAGGAGTTTGTTAGTAACTCTCTTGCACTTGTATCCCAAATCTCAAATATTCTTGACAAGTTTAGTGCGGCCGAAGAAGCTTTGAAGCCTCCTACTCGTCACCTTCTAGCACACGGTGCACCTAATCGCAATGGTTCACCTTCATTCGTCGATGATGAGGGGTTTCCCGATTGGGTTGGTCATGAGGAACGTAAGCTTTCGGTTAAGTCGGTGAGTAACTTGGTTGCCAACCTCACTGTGGCGAAAGATGGGAGTGGAAATTTTACTACCATCAATGATTGTTTAAAATCCTTGCCTGAAAATCGCAAAGAAAGGTAATTAACTACAAGGGTCTATCCTAGTGATATCAACACATTTTATATACATCCGGGTGCACATATAAGTAGGTGCATCCAAGGGTAGTTTTTTTTGCTCATTTGATTTTTTTTAGTAAAAAATTTCAAAAGAGAGAAAATATCCTCAGATGCACCGTGCACCTTGAGTGTAGTTCAAGTTTATAAATATTTATATTAGGAAAATAACAATCAATATTTTTATAAATCATATGGTTAATGAACTTATGCTAATTTTTACTATATTGTGGGATGTATGTAAGCAGAATTTATATCCACATTAAAGAAGGAATTTATGAAGAATACGTGACAATTGCCAAAAAGATGACGAACATAACAATGTTTGGAGAGGGGTCACAAAAAAGCATGGTCACTGGCAACAAAAATTTTGTAGATGGAGTTCGTACCTTTGAAACTGCCACTTTTGGTATATACCCCACTTTCTCTATCTATAGCTTCACACAAATAACTAAGATCAATTTAATGATTTATGTTCCTTTAATGATAAAAATTGTGCGTTGGTTTATGGTGTATGTTAGCTTTCATGTTTATATGCACCACAATGGGGATATACGATTCCAATGAGGTATTGATGACTTAGTAGTTATGACCGAAGGCCTGCGTACACTATATTAGCTAATCGTCACAAAGCTCTTATAGTAGCTAGCTTAGTGATAAATTAATGGTGGTAATGAGAAGGATTTGTATGTAATTTGCAAGAAAAAGTTTGCCATCATTACCATAATATTAGTTTTCTTGAAAGTATCTTTTTTCTTCATAGATTTCATTTTCATCCATTACCAATAGTTGATTCAATACTCTTTACTTTTTGTGAAAATGTTACACTTGTTTAGACCATTATTATCCTTCATGATGAAATTCTAAGCAAACAATTATGCTTCAGCTGTACAAGGAGATGGATTTGTTGGCATTGCATTAGGATTCAAGAACACGGCAGGCCCGGAAAAACACCAAGCAGTAGCCCTTAGAGTGCAAGCAGATCGCTCAATTTTCCTCAATTGTCGTATGGAAGCTTACCAAGACACCCTTTATGTTCAAGCACATAGACAATTTTACCGTAGTTGTTACATCACTGGTACAATAGACTTTATATTTGGTGATGCGGCTGCTATCTTTCAAAATTGCATGATTATTGTTAGGAAACCTATGGACAACCAGCAAAACATAGTCACGGCCCAAGGGAGGGCTGACAAACACGAAAACACGGGCATTGTTCTCCATAATTGTCGTATCTACCCTGACAAGGATCTCTTCCCTTTGAAGCATAAGTTCAAGACATACCTAGGGAGACCTTGGAAGCAATACTCTAGGACAATTGTCATGGAAAGTACAATTGGTGAGGTGATCGCGCCTGAGGGATGGTCACCATGGCAAGGGGACTTTGCACTTAAGACATTGTACTATGCAGAGTTTAACAACCATGGTCTGGGAGCAGATACCTCAAAACGAGTTAAATGGGGTGGTTATAAGAAGTCCATTAGTAGGCAAGAGGCACAAAGTTACACTGTTACACCCTTCTTGCAAGGTAGTTGGATTCGAGACAACCCTTCGGTGCAAGTTCATTTTGGGTTGTACAATTGAAGGCTCAATGGCCATGTATTTGATTCAACAAGGAGATTGGATTTTCATATTTGATTTGATTTATTCAAAATTACTAATAGCTAGAACTTTTAGAAAATTTTGGCATTCTTAATGAGTGTTTCATATACTTGTTTATTTGATGTACATTATCTTAGACGATGATTTTACTTGACTTATTCAACTTCGTATAATTAACAACATTACATACACTATGCCTAATTCCCTCTCTAATTGTTTTTTTGAGATTCTAAGCCAGAATAAATAAGGCCATCTCAAACATATTGAGAATTCATTCTCAATTTTTAATATCAGATCTCTATAAAATAAGAAAATATTATCGTATTTATCATTATAAATCATGTCTTTATAAAATTAATGGGAGAAAAAAAATATAACGGCCGCCAATGCCCGTGTAGGCCACACCGCCACATTGTGTATCTCAGCCTCTCACGGCGGGCTAGGTTGATCGAGTGCTATCTCTAAAAAACTTCCCAAGCACGAATCAAAACACACACAATTACACACGTACATAAAAGGAAAGAAGCTACCAAATCATTCACTACATTTTGGCGCCTTAGGTTGAGCATTTCGAATATCTTGCTGTAGTTTTCCACTAGATCACAGCCCCTTTCCCCACCAACTCAAGCCCTCAAATCTTTCTATCTTCCAAATTCAAGGTTTCATCTTCTGGGTTTTCTGGGCATAATTCACATCGCAAAATGGAGCAGCAGCAGCGAAACCCAAGGGCAGTGGCTCAAGAATCAGAAGAAATGGAAGAAATTCAACATGGCCCTTCTCCTGTCGAACAATTACAGGTACAATTGCCCAAATTTCTCCTCTTTTTCTCTCATTTCTTGATAATTTTATCTGGGTTTTCCTTAAATTCTGTCAATTTTAGGTTTCTTGCTATTGAACAATGATATTGTGAAATGGGTCTTTTTTTTTTTTTTTTTTTAACATCTTGAAATTGTTTTTCTGGGTTTTCTTTATAACCCTTAATTTTGAGGGTTTCTTGTAAAATTACAGTTATTTTGTTGATGATTGCTTGTTTCTTCTGATGGTTCAAGAAATTTATTGATATAGTGAAATGGGTCTTCTTTTTTTCTTCTTTTTGTTGAAATTTTCATCTGGATATTTTCAATACCAAATCTATTTTAGGGTTTCTTGATTATTTTACTGTAAATTATCAATAATTGCTTGTTTCTTTTGATGGGTGCGAAAATTTTCTTGATACAGTGAAATGGTATGCTGTTTCCCTTTCATTTTCGATGAAATTGATTCCACCCTCAATTTGAGGTTTCTTGTTAATCTTCCTGGAATTTGTGTGATCAAGAAGCTTAATCCAGGTTTACATTTTTTGGGTTTAGGGGTCAAATGTTACCTTCTTTACTCTTAACTGGCTACTTCTATTAATGGGTAGTTCTTGTTAGCAGTTCTTGATGTGTTATCGAAGAGGGCTGAATTGTTATAATGTAATATTTATCTTGTTGTATTGCTCTGCCAGTCAATGAGAGCTTTTCTTGAAATTCATAATACAGAAAAGACTTCTAAGAGTTTGGATAACTAATGTTTGATTTCCCTCTTCTATGATTTGTGTACTTTTCATTCTTGGATTAGTGATTGAGGTTTGTTTCTTTGGATGGGTTCTTGATTTGTGTTAAGCCCCTATACTCACTTGTTTGGTTCGGCAGTGGACAAGGTCTTCCCATTGGTGAGAGAAAGACAAAGATGTTTTAATGTTGTTGCCGGCAGTTTTAGTATTTTACTCTGTGACTGTTAGACAAATCGAGTAGGGAGGAGCTAAAGTGTGGCTCATTATTTGCTCATCAACCTGTCTATTGCTATTTGCTGTGGATGCTCAAGAATGCTTTTCTAGGGCTGTATGCAGGAATTAGAAATTGGTTTAGTACTAAGACTACTGCTACAATTTATACAAATGCATTTTTTTATTTATTTTGTCGCTTCTCCTCCAATGTGCATTCCCATTTAAAAAAAATTTAAAAAAAAAAAAAATCGTTCTTTGAGAATTGATGTGTGTACTATTCTTTAACCGTTACTCATTAAGTCAAGAAGTTCTAGCTGAGTTGTTTGTATGCAACTGTATGAGTTAATTTGTTTCTTATAATTAGGCAGCTGGTATTGCGGCTATGGATGTTAAGAAGCTTAAAGATGCTGGCTTATGTACAGTTGAATCTGTTGCCTATTCTCCTCGCAAGGAGCTTCTTCATATTAAAGGAATTAGTGAAGCAAAAGTTGACAAAATAATTGAAGCAGGTGAGAATGATAATGAATACAAGTACTCCGTATTATTTATAAAATCTCGATTTTGTTTTCTGCTATACCTTGACTCTTATATACGAAATCAACATTAACATCTTCATTGCTCTTCTGATTGGTAGCTTCAAAACTGGTTCCTTTGGGCTTTACCAGTGCTACTCAACTCCATGCACAGAGACTTGAGATTATTCAAATTACATCTGGCTCTACAGAGCTTGACAAAATTTTAGAAGGTTTTGTTGTCAACACCATCTTTAACTGTGCACCTCATTTCTATATATTCAGTAAACAGTGGTTAAGCTGAATTCATGTAATTATATCATTTGGCAGGAGGACTTGAGACGGGATCAATCACAGAATTATATGGCGAGTTTCGTTCTGGAAAGACTCAACTGTGTCACACGCTCTGTGTCACGTGCCAAGTAAAAAATTTTGTTCACTCTATAAACTGTCTTCCCTATTTATCGTAAACTATTAAATTATTGTCTTCCCTTCATGTTAAAAAAAATAGTATCTTCATCTCATGTTATCTTAATTTCAGCAGCTACCATTCTTAAATTGGTGCTCTGACATATCCTTTGTGAGCACTGACTTGCACAGCGAGTCCTTGTTTAATTTATACTCCACATATATTTTTTAGATCATGAGGGTAAATATCGCAAACTGTATATCTCTGTGTTTAGATAGTTTTCAGAATTTTTACATGTTTCTTCTGCTCAGGGGGAACTAAATAAATATTTTTGATTGTGTTATGCTGCAAACTCTGTTCTAGACCCATCTATAAAACAATAATGCTTACTGGTTCCAATTTTCTTGTTGGTGTCTCAGCTGCCGTTAGACCAAGGAGGTGGTGAAGGAAAAGCAATGTACATTGACGCAGAGGGGACATTTAGGCCGCAGAGACTTTTACAGATTGCAGAGAGGTTTTGTGTCAGCTGGCATCTATATGTTGTCTCCTTTGATTATATACGTAAGCATACAATTTGTATAACTGTGCTTTTATTCCAGGTTTGGGTTGAATGGTGCTGATGTGTTAGAAAATGTGGCCTATGCAAGAGCATATAACACCGATCATCAGTCAAGGCTTTTGCTTGAAGCAGCATCGATGATGGTGGAAACAAGGTACTTCGTGTTTCTTATGTTTTTTTGATTGAGAAGAGTATCTTGCACTTAGCTTGTTGCCAACATTACAATTCGATAAATCACTGTGTTCTGTTAAGTGGCGATCTGAAACTCAATGGATTTTGTCAATTTTACTTGTTACTTGTCTAAATTAATATATTATGTCATTAGCCAACCTTTATATCCCTTAGGAACTTGTATTCTTTCTTTGTTTTCTGTAATCTAGCCTATTAGCAGCCATTTCTCAGCACTCCAGAACAAATCGAAGAAGAGCTTAATGTGTACATATTTTGAAATGAAACTAGAAACTACTCGTCTCTATATTGCCCGTTACAACTCAATACATCACTTAGTTTTGTAAAATGACAATCTGAAACTCAATGGATTTTGTCAATTTTACTTGTGACTTGTCTAATCAATATTTTATGCCATTAGCCAACCTTTATATCCCTTAGGAAGTCGTATTTCTTTTTGTTTTCTGTAATCTAGCTTCTAGCCTATTAGCAGCCATTTTTCAACACTCCAGAACAAATCAAAGAAGAGTTCAATGTGTACATAATTTGAAATGGAACTAGAGACTAGTCTTTTTATTGCCCTTATGTGTTTAAAATTGATAATGGTCGACTTGAATGTCCTTGCCTCGATTATCTTGCAGTTACACATCTGGTTAAAATTTATACAAATTTGAAGCACTGATGCTGCCATTTGCAGCTCACTACCTTTTGCTTGATTATAAGTTGTGAATTATGGTGTCAAAATTAATATGGATTTTTCATCTGCAGATTTGCTCTTATGATCGTAGACAGTGCTACTGCACTCTATAGGACAGATTTCTCAGGGAGGGGTGAGTTATCAGCTAGACAAATGCACCTTGCCAAGTTCCTTAGGAGCCTTCAGAAGCTGGCAGATGAGGTAATTATTCTGCATCATTTTGACGTTTGATACTTCAAGCAAACTGAACTTAGCATTCATATGCTCTGAACTGGTAGCATATGAGACGAGGATACAAACCTTGCTATAAATCATTATTCTTGTGGGAAACTATCCTTAAGTGCGTGGTTGGCATTGCAGTTTGGTGTTGCTGTGGTCATTACAAATCAAGTGGTTGCCCAAGTGGATGGTTCTGCAGTCTTTGCTGGTCCACAAATCAAACCAATTGGTGGCAATATAATGGCTCATGCTTCCACAACCAGGTCAGTTAATCTCGACCTATCATTTTCTGTCAAATAAAATACAGATTTGTTGCTTATGCTGAACTTTTTCCGTTAAACTATTCAGATTAGCTCTCCGAAAGGGAAGAGGGGAGGAGCGCATATGTAAAGTAATAAGCTCCCCATGCCTTGCTGAAGCTGAAGCAAGATTTCAGATCTCTTCCGAAGGTGTTACTGATGTTAAAGACTGATACCTAATCCTCTGCTTTCGCCTCTCTCATGTAATCTTGCTACTGTCAGTGGATGTACACAACAGCTGTTTTTCTTCACCATTGCTCTACGGATGAGGTCTTACTGATTTCAATTTCTCATTGTTGCCTGGAGGTTGGGGGAGGGTGTAAATTCTGTTATGTAGATTAGTATAATAGCAAATCTACAAATGTAGATCCTTTGCTTAGATGCGTTTTTCAGGTTCTTGTATACAATTGTCCTATTACACCGATTTCCATTAAATTGGCTTCGATCTTTTTGTTATTATCAAGCTTGTCTACTTATTTGTCTTCAAGTTGCAATTTAGAGACAAGTATTGGCAATTTGGGGCACACAAAAACACTAGACTTGGCAAGATAAAATGGCTTCACTTGCGGATACAAAACTAAATCCATACCCACTTCAGCATCCTAACAACCATTCACTCATTTGGATATTTATTTATTTCAGTTATGTCCACCTTGCTCGTCCTTAAGTTCCATCTGAATACCCACTTAAAATGGCTTAATCAAGTATTTTGGCATTCGTTATCCGCTAGTACACAGTTTTGCAGTGTGTGCTACGTGATGAATTATAGCTTGCTAAAGGCCATCTTGGGTTTTTACCTCAAAAAAAAAAAAAAAAAAAGGCCATCTTGGGGTTAGACGTCAAGCCATGCAAGGGCCACAATTTTTCTTTGAAAACCAAATCAAAGCATGCTAAAATAGAATTAAATTTAATTATGGCATGTAAGCACAACACAACACAACATAGTGATATATGAAAGTGAGATACACGACATGACATGACATCTTTGCAAAAATTTCAATAGAGCAACCTGGCATTAGTATCTGTTATCATAAAGATTTGCTTGTACCACCTTTTCCAAAATTTTGGCATGACATGACATGATATTACAGGTAGTAATTTGTGCCACCTTTTTCAATATTTTGGAATGACATGATGTGATACATAGCGAATGGGCACAACTATAAACCGGGTCTAGTCAAACCCAAAACACACGACACAACCCACAACCATCTTTAGGTATTCCATAACAATAACAATCACTCAACAAGTCATATTCTAATGCCCAATAATCTACGAATTAGCGATTTGGTAACATCAATCAATTAGACCAAAAGAAAAGGGCAAAATTGGCCTAAACCACTCTTATCTATGGCTTGGGTGCACCCAACACCCTACACTTTGCGTAGTAGCTAAAACATCACAAAGTAATTACTTGGGTGCAACGCGTACCTTTAATGAGTTTTCCGACCACCATTCTCGTTGGAGACGGTGAAATAAATTTTTATTTTTAGATTTGCGTGCCGAAAAATGTGCCGTTAAGGGTTCGGGGGTCATTTTGACCCTTAGGGTATAAGGGTCCAAATTGAGCTCGTAATAAGCAAAAAAAAAAATAATGTAAATGACCACTTAAAAAACAATGACATGCAAATCGAGATATTTTATAACACGCAAAACGAGTCATTTACACTTTTTTTTTGCTTATTTCGAGCTTAATTTGAACTTTAAGAGCCAAAATGACCCCGAAACCTTAACAGCACATTTATTAATTTGGTACGCAAATCAAAAAATAAAAATTTAATTTACCACCTCCGACAAGAATGGTGGCTGGAAAACTCACTAAAGGTACACTTTGCACCCAAGTCATTAGTCATTTGTAGTGTTTTAGCTACTATGCAAAGTATAAGGTGTTCGGTGCACTTAAGCAATAGTTCAAAGTGTTGAGGCCAATTTTGTCTTAGAAAAATAGGTCTAGAAAATAATAGCTACTCATATTCCTTTATCTCCCAAGTCCCAAGGGCCAAAGTAAATGTCAAAACTTAGTTAAGATTTTATTACACAAACATTTCTCCAATTAGTCCTCTTAACTCTGCAACGTTTAATAAGAATAATTTCCAGCACCTCCTTTTTAAGGCCGATCAAAAAATGAATTGTTGGTCCTCCAACTTAGTCTCCAAAGCTAGTAAAGTTGTTCTTATTCAGAGTCACCTTGAGGCTATACCCTCTTATGCTATGACCACTACATGTTTACCTGCTTCTGTTACTTTGCTTGTCTCTTGATAAAATAAATGGGGTTTTTTTTCCGGAAATAATCCCGAACAAAGAAAGGCTTACCCATGATTGCTTGGGATACTATATGTCAACCTAAATCGCAAGGAGGGCTTGGTCTTCGTAAATTGAAAGCTATTAACTCTGCTTTCTTAGCCAAACTTGATTGGAAAATTATGTCTGATCCGACTAAGCTATGGGTTCAGTCTATCACCGCTTAATATTTACGCAATTCTCATTTCCTTACTTATCGTACTCAACCCATGGACTCCTAGATTTGGAAGAAAATTTTACATATCCGCCCTCTCTTAATACGGGGACTTCGCTGGAAAGTAGGTAATGACTCTTCTATCCTTTTTTGGGTAGATATATGGTGTTCTCACACCAATCTTATTGCGCTTCTCAATCTAGATTCAGATCAAATTGCAAATATCAATGTCACGGTTGATATGTTCATTAAAGATAACAATACTTGGGATATCCCTCTCCTTCTTACTGTTCTACCTAATACTATAGTTCAAATTATTCGAGGAATCCGATCCCTCTTCCCTCCTCCCCTGTTCCAGATGAACTTTGTTGGGGTCTTTCTAAAGTTGGTCAATTCATTGTAAAATCTGCTACTTGGCTTGCTCACTCCCATATTCATCCTTCCTCTAAATGGGAATTTAGTTGGATTTGAAAATTGGATATTCCCCTTAAAATTCATATTTTCCTTTGGCAAATCGTCCATAATAGTCTCCAAGCCCGTCATACTTTATCTTCCCGTCATATTGACGTCCCTAGTTTTTGTGCTCTTTGTACTAATCACCTTGAATCCCAGGATCATTTATTCCTCTCTTGTCCCTTTTCTATGGACCTTTGGTCTTCTTCCTCCGTCCGTTAGTGGCTTGGTATCCTCCCCCAGATTACTCAGATCCATGATTTATTTCGCTTTCTTAAAGTTACTTCATCTAGATTCCTTCCTAAGATAGCTATCTTGTTTTGGAGTATTTGGAAACATCGTAATGCAGTTATTTTAAAAATTCTTCTGCCAATATTCAAAGTGTTTTTATACGAGCTTTCTCTTGGTTTAAGGAATGGGAATCTTGATCACTTCTTGATGCCATCCATAGTCCTACTATTGCATCACCTCCGCCACCTCCTCCTACCCCGCTCCCTTCATCTCTTGGGCTCCTCCTCCATTAGGTTATTGTAAACTTAATTTTGATGGCTTAGCCAATCAAAACTCTGCTACTGCAGGTGTGGTCACTCGAGACAACCTTGGTAATCATGTGGCCAGTCGTACCTATAAATTAGGCTCTTGTCCGGCCTTCCTTGCAGAAGCTATTGCCCTTCGCAATGGACTCCTTCTTGCTAAGGAGGGAATATAATATTTCCGATATTTTTATCGAAGGCGATAATCTAACAGTTATTAATATTTTGTACGGTCATTTCAGTTGTCCATGGAAACTTCATCTTCTTATGGCAGATATCAAGGCTCTTTTGGATTCTTTCTCGAGCTTTCAGGCAAGACATATTATCGGGAAGGGAATCGGGCAGCAGATTATGTTGCCTCTCTCGGCTATTCTAATCCGACTCATCAAGATATAGATCCGTTTCTAGATAACAATTTTCTTATTTTTTTACTCTTTAATAAATTAGATCACGGTCTTGCAAGAATAAGTACCTAATCTCCTTCATGTATCTTACTTTTCTTAAAAAAAAAATAAGTCCCCATTACGCCATATTTCATATTGGATTACCAGATCCAAAGTAACGCCCAAAGTCTCTCTCCTCCGAACCAACTATAACTACAACTACAACTACAGTGATCAAATCAAATTACTGCACTCCAAGAAGACGACTCCACCAACAATGGTGGCTCCCAAGAACTCCTCTCCTCTCCCCAAATCTGGCGCAGTTTCCAAGGGCTACAACTTCGCTTCCACTTGGGAACAGGTTTCTCTTTTTTCTCTCCTCTCAATTTTACGTTCAATTATTGCATTGCTTTGATTTGATTTAATTAGGGTTTATCATTGCTTGTAATTTGATCAATTTTCATCAATTTTGCAATGCCGATTTGATTTATTGAATGAATTAGGTTTAATTTCCGATCCCACGATTTTTATTTTCTTGAATTATGTTGATGTTGTGAGTTTAATTTTTGTGATCAATTCAGAATGCTCCATTGACAGAGCAACAACAATCCGCAATCGTTGCATTGTCTCATGCTGTTGCCGAGCGTCCCTTTCCTCCCAATTTGGTACCTTTCGTTTGTATCCGTGTTTTGATTTTGTGGTAATGCTGCTGGTGGTTGTTTGAGTTTTAGTTTCGAGTGTCGGAGTTGAGTAATTGTGTGTCTTACAGGCGCAGGATCGAGTACAGGGGCGGGGACATGATTTATCTGTTAGTACGCAGGACAGTGTTGCTGATAACTCTGCTGCTATTGAGGCTGTTTTGGTTAACACAAATCAGGTGATCAGTTTGTTTTGATCATGGCTACGAAACTTGTAAATAAGTATCTTAATTATTGTTGCGTTTTGGACGTACTATCTAAACATGGATTTTTATCTATCTATCTTGCTATCTTGCAATATGATTCAAATGGTAGGAAATAATTAATGTGACCTACCAACACTAGTGGATTGATTATATAATTGTAATCATCATGGTTGATACACATGTTAGTATGATTGTTTTTTGCATAAACGTTATGTTATTATCTGTTAGAATTGTCAATATTTCATACACGCTGTTGGAATTTGAGGTTAAATTTATGGTAATATTAGAATTGTGATTAAATAATGTAAAATTACTATTTGGCGTGTCTAAGGTGGGTTTATAACATAATTTGTTTTTGTAGGTTCATTTTTTCTTCTTAATTTTAATCATTTATTTATGTCATACAAAGTATTTAGGATTTTGAAGCTGTTTGTTTCAGAATTTAGACATAGCCATTAGCTGAACTCTTGTTTCTATGTCTGTCCTTTTGTGCTGCAGTTTTATAAATGGTTCACTGATCTTGAAGCTGCCATGAAGTCAGAGGTCAGTCATTGTGTAATGTTGATACGTGCTCATGATACTTGGATTTTGTCTCTGATTATTTCTTCTTTAGACAGAGGAAAAGTATAGACATTATGTAGATACTCTGATACAGCACATACAAACTTGTGATGATATACTTCGCCAGGTTGGTATGCTTTTTTTTTTTTTTTTTTTTTTTTTAACATGTTGATCTTCAATTCCATTGGGTGGCTTTGTGATGCAGATTTGGTTATCAGCTAATACCTGCCTCTTGCATGGTATGCAACTTTGGCAATATTTGATGCAGGTGGATGATACCCTTGAATTGTTTAACGAGCTACAGTATCAACATCAAGCAGTGGCAACTAAGACTAAAACCCTTCACGATGCATGTGATAGATTGGTATTTTCTCAATCTCGTGATTCTTTTAAAACAAGATTCTAATTAAATTAAATTTGATATATTACGAGATTTATACCTTAGAACATTTGATCTAACAAGCTAGCTTATATTGTCCACTACTGAGGATATTTCCATTTACAATAGTCTAGAAGGTGGTGGTGTGAGAGATTACAATTTACCAAGACTTGTGCTTTGTTGGTGTTAGGTTACTAGCTTTAGAGGTTTGACAAGATATCTTTGCAAGGGACACATAGCATTTAGTATGGCTTCATGGAGGAGCAGACGGGCTTTCTTTCATTCTTGAGAGGGTCCTCATTTTTTTTTTTCGATTAAGCTAGGTGGTCGTTAGGTTGGAGGTTGGAATAATAAAATGAGTTCTAGAACTTATAAGACCATCTATAATCATGTGTTGTTGATATGTTTGTAATTTGCTTGATGTTTCAAAAAATATTGAAATATGACAAGAAGTCGTACTCATTGGTTTGTATGTTTGCAGATTCAATTGGTTAATTCCTAAGTTTTAATTTTATTCTAGACTTGATACAATAAGTTTTGAATGAGAAGGTTACGTCCATCTCTTTAACTTGGGTTTTCATCTTCTTTTTTTGCAGCTAATTGAAAAGCAGAGATTGATTGAATTTGCAGATGCTCTTCGGAGTAAGCTTAGTTACTTTGATGAATTGGAGAATGTAAGCATATACTATACTTTTTCTTTCTCACCTTTGAGAAGGTGTAGTGTGTTTATTGTTATCGAGTCATCACTTATTCCTTTGCAGATGCTCTTCGGAGTAAGCTTAGTTACTTTGATGAATTGGAGATGTGTGTGTGTGTGAGATACTTTCACCCCTAACCCGTCAAAATCTTCCATACTTCCCAAAAATAACATCCCTTCGCACAGATCTGCTGTTTCTATGACCCTAACTCACCAAAATCAAAAAAGCGCCGCCTTCTAATTTGAAAACGACCATCACCACCATTGATGAAAACCCAACTTTAATTTTTCTCTCCTCCCTTCTAATCACTAGATCTTTAACCCACCATTCTACCCCTAAGGGCCTTTACAATATTATAAAATGGGTCATCTGGGCTATGCATTCAGGGAGACATTAAGATAAATTAAGAAATGAAAAAGCTAATTTGGTTGATAATCTGGAAAACATTAAAATTTGAAGATAGTTTTTAAACAATTTGAGTATCTTGGCTCTCACAAAAGCTAAACAAGTAATTGAAGATGTAACTGTCAGTAATTTCCTCCATATACTTCTCTCTTCGATTCCTTATATTTATAACCACCCTTCAATCCTCTTTCACTTCTCTTCTGTCTCAATACACATAGTACTCTTTCCCTTTGGAGTAGTGCACAGTGTCATGCCAATAAATTTTCCAAGTTACTAATGGTGTTGAGGTTATCCCTCACAAACCTTAAAACATCGATTACTTTATTTAGAGGGGTACTATGTAGAATATTCTCACAATTTTGATTAACATTGAGAGTTGTTTCATATGTATATGATTCTGCAATGATTTAAACATCCCAATGCTTGTTATATATTTATATCTTTTTTATTTGGTATTTATATGCTTTTGTGTGCTATGTTCAAGTTGTGGATGCTGTTCATTAAATCTGGCATCAGAAGCTCGATAAGATAGAAACTGCTTCACTCTTTTCCGAGATTTACATTTCTAATTAATCTTTCACATTTTGTTTTCAGATTTCAACAAGCTTCTATTCCCCTAGCATGAATGTTGGAAATCAAAACTTTCTTCCTCTGCTGAAGCGGCTGGATGAATGCATATCGTATGTTGACTAGTTAATGCCCGAGACATGCCTGGATTTAAAATCAATACATGGTTAATTAAATTGGAATGTAGTCAGTATAAAATGGTCATCGATTACACTTTTTTTTCCATGTGGAAAAATCCAGCTTAGGAAATGTTCTGTAATTTGCGTAATACAATATCTTCTATAAAAAATAAGGTATAATAAATACATTTATAAAAAATACAATTTGATGTATTTAATTAATGGGATGTAGTAGATGGAAAAAAGTAAACAATAAGAAATAACTATTTATTTCATTGAATATATTGCTGTCATAAATGCTTTTAGAGAAATATAAAATAGAATCAAAATTTCCATTTTTAGAAAATAAAATGTGGGTTTAGGACACCCTCCAAAAAACTCCATTGTAGTATATAGATGTATAGGTATCTATTGCCACCCTCTTTGATAATTGGGTTTCTAAAATCTCTTCATTGCTTTTTGAGTGTTGTCTATGTTTCTAAGAGTGCTGTATTTTTGTTACTGGTCTTTGTTGCTGCCTTTTGGATGTTGTAGTTTAATATAATTTATTATGCTTGAATTCTGAATTTTAGGTACGTTGAGAGCAATCCCCAATATGCAGAGTCTAGTGTGTACTTGGTCAAATTCCGACAGCTCCAGGTAGTAATGACATATAAAAGCTTTCTTATATGACTCATACTGTTTGTGTATGATACTAGCAATGCAATTCTTCTATCAAGATTAAGATCAGGTTTCCAATATAATTTTCTTCTCTTTGTTGTTGAGTACAGTCACGAGCATTGAATGCGATAAGGTCTCATGTCCAGTCAGTCCTCAAAAATGCATCTTCTCAGGTGACTATCAGCAATAGATTATTGTTGTGTTTGTTCTTACTGTTAAAGTGAGAAAATTCTGTGATATAAAAGTTGTCTTGATTAGGTTCATGAAGCAATACGAAATATTGGTGGCAGTAAACCAGCATTTTCTGAAGGCGTAGAGGCATCTGTTATATATGTCCGTTTCAAGGCTGCTGCAAGTGAGGTAGTTTTCTTGATAACTGTTGTGACTTGTGAGATTATTTCTGGGGTGTGGTTATGGGGAGAATTCTCTAGAAAGTTACTTTATGAAGGTTTGAAGTGCATCAGAAAGGGGAAATCTGGTCTTGAATTATTCAATTTGCTTTTTTCATTATCTGGAAAGAAATAAACATATCATTTCTTCCGTCCCTTAACAAAAAGCCACATTGATTAGAGAATTGAGTTAAATTACCATGATTATCTGTAATAAATTTAATTGTCCTCCCTCCATTCTTGAATACTTGACTGGCCTATGTGTCAATGAATAAGTTTGTCCATAAATATATGCTATTATGCATTTATTAAAAAAAAAATATTGAAAAAATTGATATTTATAAATTTACATTGAGACTAATTCAACAATGTATTACACAATTACAGTTGATTTTATATATTTGTAAAAAATAGAATCAAAGTAATACATGAATAGTCTTAAAGTCAAACTGTGTGAGTATTGAGAAACGAAGGGAGTACATCTCTGCAATGCCAAAGGATTTGTTGTTGTTGCTGCTGCTGTAGTATGGTCTAAAATAGAGCTGCTTGGTCATTGCTTATTTTGTTCAAATTATAATTTGGAAACTGTGCAGCTCAAGCTTGTGCTCGAAGAAATCGAAAGCAGATCATCACGGAAAGAGTACTCCCAGCTCCTTATCGAATGCCACAAGGTGTACAGTGAGCAGCGGCTTTCATTGGTTAGTTTGAGTTGTCCCTGGTGTTTCTTTTTTTTTTTTTTATTATTCTCCTGCAAAACTTACTTTGCAAATTGTATCAGCTGAAAGGCATTGTGCAGCAGCGAATATCAGACTTTTCTAAGAAAGAGGCATTGCCATCATTGACTCGGTCTGGGTGTGCATACTTGGCACAGGTGATTGTACTATCTGAGACTAGTTATAATATGGAGAAGTTTGGTTCACATTGTTACTTTGTTTTTAATGTTAGATCTTAATACATTGTCTCTACTATTCCTTCTTCCTTATTCCTGGAGCTTTATCAACAACTTAGATGGGGAACTTTTTTGATTTAAAAAGTTTATACTCAAGACCTTTTTCTTATCTTTAATTTTGTAAATTCTGAATGTGTACAGTCTATTTGAAGGGAAAGATTTCTTAACCCACCTTACTAGCATGCAAGTTAAAAAGAAATTCTAAGTAAAAGATAAGCCCTTTAGTAGCTACTCATATTGGATTCTGAATCGAACAACTGTTTTAAGCAACTTACTACCTCTATTCCATAAAGTCCTTGACATTTATTGTTTACACAAGAATTAAGGCAAAGGAGAGAGAGTTTGTTAAAAGATGGGTGGGTGTGAAAAAAAATTTGGATAAAGTAAGGAAGAAAGAGTGAGTACAAAGGTTTTAATAGTTTTAGGTGAGAGGGATACGATTAAGAGGGGATTGCTGGAAAATGGAATAAAGTAGATATGTTAAGAACAATATGAAATGGATAAAAACAGAATATGTCAAGAACATTATGGCATGGAGGAAGTTTAACCCTAATTTGCCGTAGAAAAAAAGAGAAAAACAACATAAAGATTACAGTGAAGGTTTCACTTAGCATTCGCTTGTCTTATCCTCATTCTTTTTCCCTTTCTGAAGGATGTTTGACCTCAAATGTGAAAGTAAGATAAAAAGAAAAGTGCACGACTCAGGCATCTCTGACTATGACCGGGATTTAATAAATGTTTATAATCGTCTACCTTCACCGGAGAGAATGTTTTTGTGGCCAATATTATAAACAAGATTGTTAAATTGTGAGGGCAACCCAATAACATTTTACAGAACATTCTTTACACTTAAATATATGCATTCTGTAGTTCGTAGGGATGGGGTAGTGACAGATGCATGTCACACAAAAGGTTTTATTAAGGTTCATAAATCTATGTGGATATTTTAATATTGCTAGAATTTGGCTGGGAAGAAGGCTGAGTACCAGATTCACTTTTTAGCATCTGAATTCACATTTTTTTGTTTGGTGGGCTGCTTTTAGAGACTTTCCTGTTTTATAAATGAGGATAAAGTCCATAGAGTATTTTTGTTGTGAAGTGAGAGCATTTATTTCAGATGTGGAATGCTAAATACAAAGATGTCTTGTCTGGTAGTTTGGAATGAAATTATGTTCTGAGTGTCCCTATAAATCATAAAAGGGGAAATATCTATGAACATGGGTGGCATCAATTTGAGGATTATGTTCTCTGGGGTTATGCTTTCTCATACCATCATTTTTTACCATACCAGCATTTCAGCTGTGGAATGCTAAATACAAAGGTGTCAAATTTGGTAGTTTGGGAAGAAAATATGCTGCAAGTGTCCCTATAAGTCATAGAAGGGGAAATCTTTATGAACTTAGATGAAATCAATTTCAGGATTATGTTATCTGGGGATTATGCTTTCTCATTCCATCATTTTACTATACATTGGATCTTAGTAATGTAGGATTATAGGAAGTTAGCTGTACATATTGCAATACCACTGGAATCGACAAATAATAATTATTTTGCTCCTTCTGGGAATGTTAATGGATTTATTTACTTTCTAATCTGAGGGTGTCTTACTGCAACTGATGAAGGGCCCTATCTTTTCCCTTCAATTCCATCAAACCCCGTGCTAAATGCAAGTAGCCAGATTTTACTTCAGCAAAATAATCAAAGCAAGATCTGCCTATTTTGGGTGGCTTTCCCGTTATGCAAGTCTCTTTTTAGTTACACTAAAGTAGGATTGACTACATAATTCACTCCAGTAGCTTGGCTCAGCAAATTTTGACCACAGTTTTTCTCTCACAAAGTATGTCAATTTTGTGAATTTAACCTTTTTTTTTCTTTTTTTTTGTTCGTATACAAGTATTATAGTAATTACTAACAATACAACAAATCAAACCTAGTCATTAGATTCATCCAAAGGTAGATGTTGTGGGTGACCAGTGGCTGTAGTTGCCAACAATTGTGGAGGAGGGTGGCATAGGTAAGTCATGGTTGTTGTGGCATGGTGGTGATGCAGTGTTGTCTAAGCTCAGTTGTACAACTTACGCAACAGACAGAAAAGAGGAAGGGAGAATGAAAGGAATGAAGTATTCTGGAGATAAAGTAATTTGGTAATTTTGAGGGATATTTTAGTGATTGAGGAATTAAGTTTGTAGTTATATTTGATATTTCCAAGTTTACACCTATTATGTCATTACTAATCTCACACCAAGTACAAGTGAGTCTTCTGTTGCTTGAACACCTTAATCCCATAAGTGGGGTCGGCTACATGAACCAACATGAGGACTTCCCAGGAGGTCACCCATCCTAGTACTACTCTCAATCATTGTGGCTCATGTCAAGCGATGTGACAAAGTTTTACACTGGCTTTCACTGGCCTACCGTAACCCTCCTTTATCCAAGCTTGGGACTGGCAGCACGAAACCCGCTGATGGAGTCAAGTACAAGTGAGTCTCCATTGACAAAAGAGGCACATTCATACTTTTAAATTTCACTTGTAGAAAAATTAGTTTGGAATAAGCACAATAGGAAATTGAAAATGTCATGATAGTTAAAATGCATTTTTCCAACTAACGGATCCTAATAGCTTTACTTGCGCATTGAAAAAGCTGCAAGTAGATGTGCCCACTATATCGTCTTTTGCTAATTTCAATATGGTAAATATAAAATATGCATATAATCTATTAATTACATTAAGACACATCAAATTGTTATTGCAGGTTTATCAGCTTGAACACCAATTATTTAGTCATTTTTTCCCAGCTTCTTCAGAGGATGTTTCAAGTTTGGCTCCTTTGATAGATCCTTTGTGAGTTACTATTGCTTCTTTGGCTCATTTGGTTACATCTATTTAATTTGCCAAAAGAGTTTTGAGTGTGTACCTTCATGTACTATTGAATTGTGATATACGCACTATTTTATTATGTTTATTACATGTAGTTGATTGTATCTCATGCTTTTATATGCTCTAATAGTGGTATATTGGTAATTTGGTATAGTATGTAGCATATATTGCCCTTTAAGGATTTAAATTAGTTGTGAGGCACCGTGCATCATGGCTCACTCTTGGTGACCTTAATGCCTGGTGTATGCTTCAACTTGTAAAACCTATTCAAGGCTATTAGACGAGTTAAATCACTCAAGGTTTCTATTGGGAATTCTTACTTTTTATGAATAAAGGCTTTAAAATGCCTGTGATGTTTTGCGCACTTTTGGCCAATTGTGTGGGTTGTCTTAGGAAAGGAATGAAAAAATCTTTTGAAGTAGATTAAAATATCCTTGGTTTTTACTGTATTTTCATTCATCACTTTAGTCACATGTTCAGAGCTCTTTTCTGCGGGTGGTACAGGTTCTAAGAAAATGAATATAGTGTCATTTCTCCTTCTTTGTTGGAATAATGAGGATTAGGAAAGGTTGCAAGGAGTTCTAGCGGTAATGGCTTTGTTGGTGGATAGCGGATTGGGGAAAAAAAGAGTGTATTGGGGCAGAGCTGATCGGTGTAGTCAAATTGCTACTGCAAATGTTTGTTGAAGAGTGGATTCATATAGTGGGTTGGGATGAAAACACTGCTTTGAGGTTTTCTTCCCAAATGACAATCATGGCCACACAATTACCATTGCAGGCTGAAATTCTGCATTATTAGAATGATATTGAAATTAACTACCAAGAAAAGGCCCAAATTTTGTAGAGTATACAAATTTGAAATGTTAATTCTACCAATTAATAATTGTGATCTGAGGAAGAACTATTGAGCTTTATGAATTACTAGATAAACCGAGGAAAACTATAAAAATATTTCCACAACATTTTGCTTGGCATGTGGGATCTAAGCTTTTTTAAATATAGATCTTGCAAACCAATCCAATTTTTAGCTCTATGCAAGCTGTAAAAGTAAAAGTGCGATTTCTTTAATCAAAAATTGCAATTGAGCATCACATAATGAAGATGGAACGATAAGGGAAGGAGGTTATCCCTAAGGGAAAAGAAGAAGCCGGAGGATTAGGGGATTGGTGGTTGGTAAATACTCCCCCCTTTTTTAAGTGCATCGGTTTGACCGGCATGTAGTTTTTGAAAGGTGAATTTAATGTATTATAAAATATTGTATAAGTGGGTATTTGGGAATAGGTGGGTAATAGTTTATTTAAAAGTAAGGGATGTGAGAGGAGAGAATAATATTAAAAAAAAATATTAGTAGTGTGGACCTTGTGAGGAGAAAGATATAATAATAAATAAATAAATTAGAAGGTCTCAAGAAAACAAAAAAAGAAAGTGATGCACTATCAAAGAACGGTTGATTAAGGAAAGTGATGCACTTTGAAAAAACGGAGGGAGTAAGAATGACTAAAAAATTCTGTTGGTAATTAAATATTGTTTATGGGATTGACAATTTCTAAAGTTTCTATTAATACTTTTTTAATTATTATCCTATTAGCACACTTGCCACACTATATTTTCATAAATATCTAACCATATATATCTACCTTTTTTAGCAAGTATTTATTCTCAAAAATTAAATATGTCAATGCTCTTATTGGCAATTTACATACTTAAATAGCTATTAGCTAACAATGTTTTACCACACACTTCTATACAATCAGCTAATATGCTACTACATGACCAGCTTCAGCTATCAGATATTCCGACTTGAGAAAACTTGTTAGTACAATGACCATGCAGTATTTAACACCATTGGTTGGATATAGAGCAGTCTAGAATTCAGATTAATGTAGTCTCATCTCAAACTTGATTGGGACCAGTGGAGAGATTGCTTTCTGTAGCTACCAGCTGGAGGTCCTAATTAGTAATCAACTATGAAGATTAGCAGGATAGAATGATAAGACACTATATCAGTATATGAAGAGGCTTTCCATTTCTTTGCCTAGTATCACTACTTCTAGGAAGTTTGTTTTTTTTTTAATACTCCATTTTCTTTTTCCCGTGACATTGCTTCTCAACTGGAATTGCAGGTGCACTTACTTGTATGATACTCTACGCCCAAAGTTTATTCATGAAACAAATATTGATTTTCTCTGTGAACTTGTTGATGTACTGAAAGTCGAGGTCCTTGGAGAGCAGCTCAATAGACGGAGTGAATCATTAGCTGGTCTGCGGCCAACTTTCGAAAGAATCTTGGCTGATGTACATGAGCGTCTAACATTTCGTGCTCGGACTCATATCCGCGATGAAGTGAGTATTATACTCAATTTTGTTACCCGAACGGCTCTCTGTAGAAATGCACCATAGTATCTCAGTGTTGCTATATGTTCCTGAGTTATTTGCTTTATGTGCATGTGTAACCTTCATATCTAACTGAAGTTTTCTTTTTCATCCTCTTTCTCTGCATCTAGATAGCAAACTATTACCCTCTTAATGAAGACTTGGATTACCCTGCAAAACTGGAACAATCTTCTGAGGTTAAAGAGGAAGCTCAAACTGTAAGTTCGTTGAAAATTAGTATTTGTATGATGGAGATTAGTGCATTTGTTTCTTATATCTTTAACAAAAATTCATTTAATATGTTTCTCCTCAACTCAAACTTGTAATTGTTTTCAAATTGTATTATTTTGAATGAAAAAGCTGTTCAATGTTTGCAATATGATGGTCAAATGGCCTTTTCTATCTTAAATGTTGAGGTGTGAATTAATTAACTTTAACCGGGAATTCACATTGTTTGTTTAAACTTATTGGGGTTCTTGTTTTCAAGTTTACACCATACTATCTCCATTTCTTATTCAGCACTGTTTGACTTTCACACTTTCCAATGAAACTTTGTTCATTGATATCTTTAATTATCAATTAAAAGTTAGAAAGGTTATATTTATTTTGAGAAATATGTGTTGTGTTGAGTCAAACAAGATCAAATATAGCTATGTTTTTCCTTCCATTTCAATCACCTACTATGGCCGAAGTGGAGTATGTGAATTGTGCAAAGATACAAAATGCATAGATTAAAAATAAGGCAGAGGGAGTATAGATTAAATAGTTTTTTTTTTTTTTTTTTTTTTTTTTTTTTAAAGTGGGAACTGTATATGGTGATACTTGATGGGAATAATATAATGTATTTTGTGTGAATATGGTGCACATGACAGACATATAGCATTTATATAGACACATGCATGAAAAGAAATATAATCATATGAGTGCACATATGTGGCACACAATGTTTGTGATACCTTCCTAGAGTCAGGATTTATTTTCATCAATACACCAATATAAAATGCAGAGTGAAGAGAATCAAGATGTTTTCAAATCCTGGTACCCGCCCTTGGAAAAAACTCTCTCACTGCTGTCAAAGCTGTATCGATGTTTAGAACCAGGCGTTTTCACTGGTCTAGCTCAGGTATTTAGTGACCAGGCAACAAAGTTTCCCTTTTTTATTATTGAAGATTTACAGATGTAGCCTTGTAAATTTGCTAGCCAACTCACAAAATTTATCTTTTTTCAGGAAACAGTGGAAGTCTGCTCCTTGTCCATTCAAGTGAGTGCCTTTATCCAGATGACGTACTCTAGAAAGTCTTAGTGATATTTTGTTTCCGCTTGAAAAATTGACATCTATATGTTTGTTGGTAAAGTTTGATGTAGTATTTTGAATTTCTTGTTGAGCATGTAGTCTTATTATTATTAATTTTTTAAATATATATTCTACAGAAAGCAAGTAAACTCATATCGCAGAGATCGTCACCAATGGATGGGCAACTTTTTCTGATAAAGCATCTTCTAATCTTAAGAGAGCAGGTTGAATTATCGTCTTCTGTATTTGGTTGGTAACTAGTCTCTTGTTATGTGCTGTAAATAGTGACTAACTTCGAATTGTATCCCTGCAGATTGCGCCTTTTGATATAGAATTTTCAGTCACACATAAGGAGCTTGATTTTTCTCATTTGCTGGTTAGTTGGATGATACTTTCAAATTTCAAAAAACTACATTTTTTCTGGAGAGAATGTGGTGTGGTGGGGGGTCCAAGGAAGGGCAGATTTAGAGCTGATCTATTATCAAGTCTTGGTTACAACTCCCAAGTCATTACCAACTACGCTAGCTCAAAGTCATTATGTTGTCTGTCTTTTTATTGGCAGACTATTGCTTTGATCACTGGTTGATTTGAATTTTGAAAGCAACGAGTTTAAGAGACTTTTTGAAATTTGAACTTGGGAACAATCTTGTTACTTTTGACTTTTGAAGTCTTAAACTCCTATGTGTACCAATTTCAAATGGCATATGCCAGTCATCTCCTATATTCACATTATAATTTTATATGATGTTGTGATAGTTATTACAATATTGAGAATGAAAGAGGTTTGTGAGTCTATTGTTTGTCAAACAGAAGGATGTCAATTTAATAATGCTGTCCATTTTGATGTCAGGACCATCTTCGACGACTTCTTGGAGGACAAGCCTCTCTATTTGATTGGTCAAGATCATCATCTTTGGCAAGAACCTTTTCTCCTCGGGTTCTGGAAAGTCAAGTAGATGCTAAGAAGGTATGTGATATCATCTCCTTGGCCTTGATTGATTATCCATCTATATATTGTCTTATTGCTGATCTGTGGAGCAGGCTATGAAATTTGGCATACATATTGTGAAATGATAATACTAACCTTCCACTCCCAGAATGATATAATCAACCAGGAACGCTCTGCTTCTAACCAGGAATGCAACCTTACACTTAACTATTCAAATATAGTAGGGAGCCTTGTTTTGGTATTTGCAATGGAAACATTTTGGAAAAGGTTTAAGAAATTTAGAGTAGATATTATTACAAAGTAGTAATTAAATATTACAATTAGTCTTAGAAGTAGCAATTGCAGGTCTCTGTGTGTAATGAAGAGATAATATTATATTTGGGGATAGTTACTGACTCGATTATCTCAAAGTCTGCCATGGATTACCTTTATTAACTTTCTTTGGACTACAATTTAGCAAGGATTATCGCTAATACTCCCTCTGTCCCTTATTGTTTGCACCATTTGACCCAAAAAGCTCTCACAAAAAGTGGGCCCATGGTGCAAACAAAAGGGGACTGAGGGAGTAATTTATTTATCTTTTTAGGCTTGACCATTGTTTGACCACCTGATCAGTTTGTCCTGGTGGGGGGAGGGTGTGTTGGTTGAGGTTAATTTTTGTGCCTCTTTTATCATTTTCTAGTTAATGTTAAACCTTATAGTATACTAGTATATGGATATATAATTACTCCTACACATGATAATTGAGACAATCTTCTTGGTCTATGTTGTGTGTTTCTCTTGCAGGATTTGGAGAAAATTCTTAAAGCCACTTGTGAAGAATTTATAATGTCAGTGACAAAGCTTATAGTGGATCCACTGCTTTCATTTGTGGCCAAGGTTTGTCTTGGAATTCATGAGCTTTATATTTGCTTCTCTTATTTGCCAGTGGAAACTTCTCCCCACCCTCTTTTCAAACATGCTACAGACCAGCAGGGACTGGAAGAAGAGCTATTTTTTATTTTTAATATCAATTTTTAGAACTTCGCCTTCTCTTTGTAGGTCACAGCTGTGAAAGCCACAGTTTCTTCAGGTAGTCAAAATCAAAAACTTGAGACTGTTAGAGCAAAACCTCTTAAGGAGCAAGCTTTTGCAACTCCAGAGAAGGTGTCTGAATTACTTCAGAAGGTAGTTTGGTGCTCTCTCTCTCTCTCTCTCTCTCTCTCTCTCTCTCTCATGATCAGGTATATGTAGAAACATCTATATTCTTTAGTGTTGATTTTTGCTGCTTTGTCATAACAGAGATTAATTTTGTTAACTAAAACGCTCCCTAATACAGAGTATATGTTAGCCTTATTAAAAAAGATAACGCAACTCATTGCCCTTTGCTGACTTGCCAGGCTCCCTTTCAGCATCTCTTTTCTGTCTATTCTCTCATGTGGCAACATGGGTTTCTTTTCTTCTGTTGCTGCTTTCTTGTGTAGTGTAGATGCTAGAGCTTTTAAATTGGTTTTGGCCTTTTGGGCCTGTAATAATAAAATTACTTATCTTGATCAATAGTCACAGAGAGAGCCCCATATAAAATACGAGTACTAGAAAAAAAAAATTCTAATAAATGATACAGTATTTAATAAATGCAATATATGTTGTATCCCTCTTCACTCGAATTTCTACCTATACCGATACCCTAAAATTAAAAAGTTATCGTACTCCCTCCGTCCCATAATACTTGACACAGTTCCCATTTTTGTCTGTCCACAATACTCGACACGTTACTAAAAATGGAATGTGACTACTAATAAAAAAATATTTTCCCACATTTTCTCTTTCTTCACCTACCCCACTCCCACCCCACTTTGTTGTTTTCTTACAATATGAAAATACAAAAGAGAATCTTTTATACAATAAACAAATATTTCAAATGGACCCACTTGTAGTTTTCTCAAACTACGTGTCAACCCCAACGTCCCAAGTATTATGGGACGGAGGGAGTATCAAAAACTCGAATTCCTAGCTATATCTGTATTCAAGAGGGTAATGACTAGTTACCTAATTATAGGTATTACTGGTTGCGCCTTTAAGAGGGTAATAATTTGATTACCTAACCATCTGCAGGTAAACTCTACAATACAGCAAGAGCTACCAAGTGTGATAGGGAAGATGAAGCTGTATCTCCTGAATCCATCAACAAGGACAATATTATTCAAGCCAATAAAGTAAGATTTTTTGACGTCATTGTTTTCCTTCTTCCATTCTACCTGCAAAAAATAGGCAGATTGGCTTGCAAGGAACCTGATAAGTAAAGAAATCTGTGAATCCTGTAAAATGCAGTTTTCTGTTATTTTATACTTTTGTCAGTCTTGCATTCTTCATGTGAAAGATCCTTTATGTATAGAGGTGAGCCACTTACATGCGACTTCCAATCCCCAAATGGGTGGAGCCTCTTGCATTGAGTTGATTTCTATCTACTCTTTTGATAATTGTTCATTGTCTTGTGAGCATTCCCTTGCTTCTTCAGGAGTGAAAATTTGTCTCCTACTGACAGTATTTGCCTGTCCTAGACAACGAATTGATTATTTCTACAAATGACTTTTTATGTAGGACAAATATTTTGGAAGCTCATACCCAAGTACAATCACTTGTAAAATCAGAATACTCACCAGAAGAGATAGAGAGCATCAACGTGGTTTCTATAGAGGATTTACAGGCACAACTTGATAGCCTACTCTAGATCTGGCAGAAGCACGTATGAAGCAAAGCCATTTACTTCAAGTGTTAGGAATTGTTCATATTAAATCTATACAAGAAACTATATTCACAAGAGTGATGATTCATTTGCTCACAGATAGTATACGTATTTAGAATGCAACTATAGATTTGTAGATGAATATTACTTCTCTTTTCTCTCCTTTCCTTTCTCATGGTATGTTTGTTTCCTTTGTATTATTCATTAATCATACCAACAACACAATTTTCGTAAGTCCCAAATTCTTTTTGTTGGATCTTAAGTATTCATTGTAATTGTTTTTTTAAAGAAGTATTCATTGTAATTAATTTTGAATAACCAATTTTTGAGCTCAATTTTGCTTTCTATTGTTTACTACATCTAATCATCTAGACTTGCTAATCACTTAGCATAATGATAAGAGCGAATAATACTGGAATGTTGTCAGTCCACATTGTTGGTTTGTTAACAAATTTTTGTAGGTAGTTACTTTAGAATAACATTTACTTTTGTACGTTTGGCCGGGGTTAGTTATAGGGGTTACTTAGTCAGTCAAGGATTCCTTATAGAGATTTCTTATTAGGGGTTACTCATTCAGTCAAAGGTTACTTATAGAGGGGTTACTTATTCATGGGTTACTCCCTCGGTTAGGGATTACTTATAGGGTTACGCAGTCGGTCATGTGTTACTTATAGGGGTTACTTATTCTGAATAAGTAACCCCTATAATTAAGTAATCCTAGAATAAGTAACCTCAGCCACACGGTGTGGCCAGCCACATATAAAAATATGTGATGTGCATAATTAAAGATCATTTAATAATTATCTTTTCCTAAATTAAAGAAAACTAAATATTCACATTTAATGTCGTGTTCTCTGTATCTATATCAGATGTTCTTTATGTCCTTCAATTCACACACGTTTTATTCATTTGGGCCTGTCGTTTTGATCCTGGTGTATCATTCGCATGGTACACCTAGGTGTAAGAACCACGTATTGATATTCCCTTTACGCATTCAACCATTAATGTATGGGATTTTTTCCCAAATTAAGCTTTATACGGAAATTATTTACGAAATTGGTCTCGTGGCAAAAGTATTTCCCAAACTAAGCTTCTGAGGTGAAACGCTGTCTCGGACAGCGTTTTACACTCAGTTTTTTAAAAAAAAAATTCAAGACATAAAACGCTGCCTCAGGCAGCGTTTTATGGTAGTTTGACTTTTTTCATAAACTTCGTATTTCATACCTGTTTTATACAAATAAACGCTGCCTGAGGCAGCGTTTATATCTTTAAATGAAACGCTACCTCAGGCAGCGTTTAATGTACATGCATAAAACGCAGCCTGAGGCAGCGTTTTTATCTGTACATTAAACGTTGCCTCAGGCAGCGTTTCTTGCGGGAATTATAACGAATTCCAAGCCTTTTTTTCTCAATCTCTTTCCTCTCTTTCACGCAATTTACACTCTCTCTCTCACTAACTCTCATTGTCAACAACAAAGAACCACAGCCGTTGCCAACGCCTCCCCTGCCATGCCGCCGCCCCTGCCGCCGCCAAAGTGAACGGAAGTTGTTGCCGGCATTGTCTCACTCACTCTTTAAATCCGGGTAAACCCTAAATTCGTAGTACATTGTTGAATTTTACATTGAATAGTTGGTAGTAGATAATTGTTGTATGTTGTAGCAAATTGTGATGTAAATTGTATTAATTTGTTGCTAATTAGTAATGAAATGTGATAAATTTTTGATAATTATTGATGATAATGTGGTACATTGTTGAGAAAAATATAGACGAAATTGTTGATTAAATTGTCGACGAAATTGTTGATGAAATTGTCAATGATAATGTGGTTTGTTTTTGATGAAATTCTTGATGAAATTGTTGATGGTAATGTGGTCTATTATTGTGACACGGTCGGATACCAGGACCACTTGACCCTTCTGTCCTTACACTGCAGGATAGACATCGGAGTGTTGACATATGGGAGCAGACGGTAATTTCTCACGTGCCATTTCATATACAGATTTGTCTTGTTTTTTTGTATACTTGACCCTTATTTACAGTTTTTAAATGAATTACAAGGTGGACATAGCGGAAATGTTGAGGTGCAGGCACTTGAGGTCCGGCTGGGCAGTCGATCCACGCGTTCTTCAGTACGTCGACTGGGTTGGCTTTGGTGGTATTCATCGCGTGGGCTACAGAGAAATAGATCGAGGGCTTATCACAGCATTAGTTAAGAGATGGAGGCAGGAGACACACTCCTTCCATCTTCCTGTGGGGGAGGCGACAATCACGCTGCGGGACGTCGCGATACTCACACGCCTTCCCATCCATGGGAATGCGGTGACAGGGGGTGTGGTACTTGACCCCGCAGGTTTAGTAGGTCGGGTTTTAGGGGTTCAGCCAGAGCCAAACGAGATCAGGGGCAGCGCGCTGAGGACCGGTTGGCTACGCGACACTTTTGGACAATTACCTCAGGACGCTGACGACGCCACAGTGCAGAGATACGCCCGAGCTTACTTGTTCCTGCTCATCTCGGGCGTGCTCTTTGGAAACAAGAGCGGAAGCCATCTTCAGATTATTTACCTGCAGCTGTTAGACCACGACTGGGATGAGATCCGTGGATACAGTTGGGGTAGTGCTTGTTTGGCGGTCTTGTATCGCCATCTGTGTAGAGAATCACAGCGTGGAGCACAACTGATTGGAGGTCCTTTGGTTGTGCTACAGGTAAACCTCATCATTATCCTTAAGCCTAGTCTGATAATGACTTGACGTTATTTATGCTTTACCTTTTATTTGATTTTTAAAACAGCTATGGGCTTGGGAGCACATCCATGTAGGGAGACCAGGTAGGCAAGTTGTACACCGTCCAGGGCAGCTGGACCAGGACGATCAGTACGCAGCATACGATGCTCCCCCGCTCCCTGAACCCGATCAGGCATACGGTTGTAGGTTCGTAACATTATACTTGTGTACTCAAATTTTGTTATAATTAGCTAGTACAACTTCTTAAATAATTTGTTTCCACAGATGGGTGGTTCCCAGACTAACACATGCGCATACAGCGAGAGGTCTTCTCTACTACCGTGACGCCCTCGATCGACTCTCGGATGAACAGGTGGAATCTTGCACTACATTTGTAATCGTTTGTTTACTCTTTATACTGTCTATTGGCATTGCCCTAACCTTTTCACGATATATCCTTGTTGCAGATGACATGGGATCCCTATTCTGTTGTGTTGGTAGAGGCCATGCCGGAACACTTGCTCGAGCATCGTGCTGAGTGGCTTGCCAGGACCCCCATGATCTGTTTTGAGGTCGTGGAGAGCCACCTACCGGACCGAGTGTTGCGACAGTTCGGACTTCACCAGCCTATCCCCATGCCCTGTGACACTAGTATTCGCCTCCACGGCATTGGCCGTCGTGGAAAGTTGGAGACAAACTGGGCACTGGAGCATCATCAATTCATTGAGCTTTGGGACCAGCGGTTGGAGTCCATCGTTGACGGTCACCTGTTTCAGGGTGTTATGGATCCACGTGATCCTTACATGGTATGGTACAGGAAGATTACACGCCTTTTCATCAACCCTACCTACACCCCACCGTCCACGCACTACCATCCAGCTTATGATGTTATCAGCGGACTTGTGAGTTTTTTCAGTTTCTTGTTTTCCAAAATTATTTGAAATTCTATATCATATTACTAATTCATGGATGATTACTGCAGGCGGGGGATATGGGTGCGATGGTTGATGCACTTTCAGATGCCTTTGCAGCCGTACCCACCAGAGCCCAGGTTGAGCGGGTGCGAGATATGGGCATACATAGCTTGCAGAGATATGGCCATGGCCATCTCGTCCACCCCAGGGACGATCATGACCCCAACTCCTTCCATTCACAGTTCGACTTCGGACAAAGTAGTGGCGGAGGTCATACTTCGGGCTCTACACAGGCAGAGGATTACTTCATCCATAACACCGCTCCCGGCCACAGCCAGGGTGACTCATCGTCTCGCCAGCTGACCCCTCCATCGTCCCGAGACCCATTCACCACCATTCAGCATTACACGAGGCGTCCGAGGTGTGTTCGTAGACGGACGGAGGACACACAGGATGGAGATCAGTTAACTCCAATACATGAGTCCGGATAGTATTAGTTAGTTGATCCTTTTGTGGTACTCAGATATTTAACAATGTTGTATATAACGCTTACATTATTAATACAAGAAATGTTTTCTAAATGTCTCTCTGTACAATTTGAAGTTTATTTCCCTTATTTGTCCGAATTTGACTTTTGTTAGTGAAACTATATCTTTTATATCCGTTATATGTATCAAGCAGCATATATTTGGTCTCCTGCACTTAAAGTGCTGTTTCACGATGGTTATCATGCTGTTGGGGTTGTTTCCAGTGTTTGATGGTTGTCGGTGGTGGTCGATGGTGGTGGAAAGGTTGGGGCTGGTGGTGGGAATGCTCTTGCGTTGTTTAGGGTGTTTTATGGTAGTTTATGGGTGGTTGAGAGTGGCGGGCGGTGGTGGTGGGGGAGGTGGTTGATGGTGGTGGGGGTGGTGGTTAATGATGGGGGTGGTGGGAATGTCCTTGCGTTGTTTAGGGTGTTTTGCATTGCATAGGGGTGGTCGAGAGTGGCGGCCGGTGGTGGTGGAGGAGGTGGTTGATGGTGGTGGATGGTGGTGGGGGTGGTGGTTCATGGTGGGGCTGAGCTGATGCTGCTGGGTGAGGGTTATGTGTAGGGGCAGCAGCAGATTGCAGAAACTGCTGGTGATGTAGTGTAGCATATGCTGCTGGTAATGCAGTCTAGCAGAAAAACGCTGCCTGAGGCAGCGTTTTATGCTTTAACATAAAACGCTGCCTCAGGCTGCGTTTTATGCTTCAACATAAAACGCTGCCTCAGGCAGCGTTTTAAAGCCCATATACATATTCCAGTATAATTTGGAAAAATATACTAGTATATTTTGCCAAAATACATACCAACAGGTCAACAAGGTAAAACGCTGTCTCGGACAGCGTTTTACTTCTTGAATTTTTTTTAAAAAAAAAACTGGGTGTAAAACGCTGTCCGAGACAGCGTTTCACCCCAGAAGCTTAGTTTGGGAAATACTTTTCCCACGAGACCAATTTGGTAAATAATTTACCAATAAAGCTCAATTTGGGAAAAAATCCTAATGTATGAAATGATTTGTCTGTATCCTAAAAGAAATGGAGAAGATTTTAACTTGATTGAAAATTCATAATTTGTCAACAAAACATTAAAATAGAGGAGCTTCATATTAACGTTAGTAATTTATTAAAATAATTTTTTTACATGTACATATGAATCCGAACATTGCTCGGGCAAAGAACTAGTAAGGTAATGTATTAAAACCAAAACATGTTTAAAATTTGTATGGAGTATAACATTTATTATCCTTTTAAGCTTTTTTTTTTTTTTTTTTTATGCAACATTTTCTTTACTACAAATAAAGACATAATTTTGTTATATCTCTCTTATTATAATCCATACGTAGTACTCTCAAAACTTTGCATCTTTTAAATAAAAAAAAACATATAATAATAATTAATTAAAAAAAAAATAACACATATATGCGATTGACGTTTAATTTCTTTGTTTAAGTTAAACTACACATGCATACATTATTACAGTATAAGATTTTTACTGTACAATATCTTGACATGATCCAATATTTCTTATGTAATATTAACACATACAAAACTCTTGAGAAAAAACATAAGCATAACAAAAATAATTATAAAAACCCAACGCAATTGATTTAACGTGGAAGTTGTGAAATAAAAGGTAAAGAGTTTTTAGGATCTTAAAATTGGTATATGCTACAAGCACATCAATGAAGTACAAACCAGGACTTGTATATGGAATAAATCAAATGACTCAAAGGGCCTTTCTTATTAACTAAGTTAATTAATAAATGTAACAAGAATAAAGTAAAGAAAAACAAGATATTACAACAAAAATGTTTAACAGGAGCTATACACTTATGATGTGACAAATTCAAAGACTTGAGACTTCTACAACAAATCAAGGTGAAACTACAAATTTCTAGTTCTCCTCATTAACATCTGACATAGGTTCACTCGGGAGGATCGTTGGAGGAGACCATTGATCAGGCACCATGAGGAAGTAGGTTGTCATAGCTTTCCTAAACCGCTTTTTATACTGATCAGGAGAGATGACTGTTGGCTGTGCATTCTTCGGACCACCAAGAATTCCAGAGGCCTTCACCCAAGTCTCAAGGTGCTTGTCCCATGTATATTGCCTCATGAAATCAATAATACCAACCACCAGCTCCCGTTTTTCTTCGTCAATACCGACTAATAACGAATAATCCATCACATCAATCGACTGCAGAGAATAGAAAAAAATAGTCAGGAAACGGGCAACAGCGATAAAACTTCCAAAAAGCTAGATCCAACAACACGAGCACTGAATACAAGGTCCAGATTCAGATACATAATTTATATCCAGAACACTATGAAATTAACATTTGCCCAAAAGTGTTCCTCCAAAAGGCAAGTACAGTGGCAAACCGAGAGAGAGCAAAAACAAGTAATTGTAAGTTGTCACCAACAGCTTCTAATTAGAACTTTCAAAGTGACATTAATTTTTGAATTTGAAAACTAAGACTTGGTTGGTCTCAACTCCCTTCCCGAACGTCTAGTATAGAATCTATCAATACAAAGGAATTAATCCTGTCCCAGCAGCTAACCATGATTGCTAGAGGTAAAACTTCATCCCCATATTGACATGACCAATGACAACAATCTAAAGTCATTAAATAACATTCCCTTGTCTTCTTCCTCCCCCTCACTTTTCATCTTTACAACACCACCCTTCCCCATGTCTTCGACTCTTCATCTTTATCCATCTCCTTCCCAATTAACATTAGTAATAAGATCTTTACCTCTTTTTATTTTTCCCTCACTTGATTGTTAGAATTTATCGATAAACCTAAAGCCACTAAAATCCCAAAATCAATTGTTCTCTCTTCCATTTCCCCTCTTCTTGATAACGCTATAACACTCTTCTCATTTCCAAACCACCATTGACCAACTAGCCTACAAAGCTACCCTAGCTAAATTAGGAAGGGGCAAGCATGCTATTTCTGGCCCCATCAGCATAGATAAAATTCCAAAAATTCAGAATCAAGGGATGAAACCATTTTTGACAATCTAAACAAAAGGTCACTCCCTGACATGCATGCAATTCATTAAATCTATAGAAGAGGGGGGTGGGGGGATATAAATTCACATAATTTACAAACAATCTCAGCACACCAAAAGTGCCTAACAGTACAGACTTACCGCTAGAAATGATGTGTCATTCCAAACAGCTCGTTCAAGCAGCCTTTTTGCCTTGTTCCCTACAAAAATTGGAGAAGTAGGCATTGTCTCGATCAAGTTCTGATCAAGTAAAACTTTGTTTCCACCGGTTGAATCTGGATTGTATCGTGATCTACAAGAACCTTTCAAATCATAAAGTCGTACAACATTACGCCGGAACAAAAGATTCTCCATTACTAAAACGTCCATCTTGAATTCCTTCCCTCCTTTAATATGCTTGGATGTAACCTTTAAGATACACACCAAAGAACGGAGAAAATTAAATTTCGCAATCACAAATTCCACAAGAAACAAAAAAACACTGAATCTCATCCAACCTTGTGGTCTTTTGTGTATCTTGGGGAGGCAGGGGCATTAAGAATAGAAAGGAACCAAGTAGAACAGAAAGAAGGAAAAATTACTGCTCGGATCAACCCTCAACTTTGACATAAAATCAATGAATGGGTCATATGAGGGGAGCATGCAATTAAGACAAGGAAGATTAATGAAGTGGGGAATGAATTTGGCAAATGTAGCAGCATCTACACAAACTCCAAATCACACGAGAAAATAAGAATTATTCTTTAACTGAAAAACATAGTTTAATACTTCGTGTGATGTATATATAATACCTGATAAATTCCCAGGATCTTTGCCAGACAGGTAGGGCTGCAACTTTCGATTGACTCGGACAAATATTTAAAATAAGCTGGTGCAAACTTGATAAACGACTCCAACTCTGTCTTCGTAACTTGTTTAATTATAAATCTATCATCTAAACTCTTTGCGAAAAAGACATTGCTCTTTCCACCTTGAGCGCCCCATTTCTTACAACGGCTAAGAGACCTGATGAAATCCATCTCAGAAGGGCAACAAATCTTTCTCAATGCCTCAAATCGTTTTGCATAATAGCAAGTGACAGTGTATTTCACTTTGCCAAGGGGACCATTATCTGAAAAAGAAACTCTAGCATGCAAAGCCTTGGTATAGAACAATGGATCCAAGATGAGGGAGTTTCTTGACCCAGACATTGACAAAAGGCTTTCTTCAGAAGACCCAAAACTTTTCATTGACCCAGAAACCACTTCAAATGGATGGAGTGAAAGGGAACTCGCTAGGCTGGTCAAAGAAATTGCAGAGTCAATCCCATCCTTTTTCATCTCAGGATCATCAGAAATCTGATTTTTATAATCTGGCGATACAAGTGCATATGCTATGATACTAGTTGGTTCATCATCATAAACAGGTATAACAGTATGATCAACACCCACAGGAAGCAGCAGTCTGGCACCACCTAGGCGTTTCAATTCACGAAATGAGGAAACAAAAACTGGGTTATAGTCCCCTAATGCATCAAGCTTTTGAGCATTCCTTGCAGTATATTGATAGATGTTCATAGAGGGCATATTTAACCAATCAGTGGAGCTGTCCAAAAAGTCAGAACTCTTGGGAGGCAAAGCATTGCTAGCAGCATGATGAATCTCCGTCTCATCTCGCGCATCATTGTGCTTCTCTGAACTGGGACTTGCTGCTACTGATCTGATTGAGCTCGATGGATCTATTGCATCGTTCTCCTTGGGCTTGGCAGTTCCTGAGAGTATTTCACCAATCCATGCCGCATCAAGAGTATCAGATAAATTCACCCCAATAGGGAATTGTCCAGCTGAAATCCTTTGAATTGCATTTACAGAATTAGCTGGATCTGCTTCACCCATATTGATCCCATGGAGATCTTCCTCGCACATCATTTTATTAAATTCTTTGATGTTAACACCTTGGCTAAGATCTGTTCCAATTTTTCCATCTGAAATCACAGAACCACAATTGTCCACTTCTGTAGCTACGTCACCACTGGCATTTGTATTAGTCTTTTCAACATAATTGCAGGTTTCCTCCATGGATTTCAGAATAGAACTATCAGATTCATACTGAGTTATCTTTGCATCTAAACTGGATGCTTCAATTAAGCGCTGGTCCCATACATAAGATTGGATTAATAAGTGCAGCCTTAATCTGTTGATTTCTAGAATGTCAATTCCATCTTGCCTTTTTGATTGCAATGCCTTTTGCAAGGACTCCTGTGAAAATTCCAAGTTGGTGATTAATGACTGAATGACTTCCCTTTATGCAATAGGCATTTTTATAAACAAGCTAATTTCGAGGTCAGATAATTGGATGCACATTAAAAAGCAGAAACATGTAGAGACAAACAAAAACAGGTGTAAGTAGGAACAGAAAGTCTGAGCATTATAATTGCAGATAGAGTAACTTTGTTTTCTACAGTCAACTTTTACTACATTATAGACACACCCTAAGCATACCTATACAATCATTCAAAATTATAAATTATGATGTTTTTTGGCTTCTTATTGCTCTACAGCCTATCAGATACTTTCTAATTAACTTTTGTGGAACTACTATTGCAGAAAATGGAGTGATATACATAATTTAAAATAAAATAAATAAATAAATAAAGTGTGTAATGGGAGAACCTCAAATTCTTCTTTCTCCTTCCTCAGTATTTTATCTAGTTCCATGATGTGTTTTCTCAATCTACAAGCTTTTATGTTACTTTCCAGTAATCCAGACCTTGAAAATTTCTCTGAGATTTCATTAATGCAATTGCAGACTTCAGTATATAGAAGCTCTGCCTGGTCATTTACCTGTAAAACAACTCAAAACAATTACCACGATTGTAGGAAACTACAATAGTACAAGACTACACAAGCTACAAAGGATCTTCCACCTCATCTGCTTCTATTTGGATCCATTCCAGATTAGCACAAGTGAACTCCAGATTTGATGGTGGAAGGAAGACAGAATTAACAACAATTGGTGCATAGCGAAAGCAAGCAACCATCCGTCCACACCTGCATCAGAACACAGCAATATGAAAAACTTGAATATAGATGGTGCCCAATCTGCTAACAAATCCCTAAACTTCTATCCTCACCCTAGAATTTCTATACAGATTCAAGAGGGCCCTAATTATACCAAGGGACTACCAAAGAAGCAATTTCAATATCAAGAAAAAGAGCATGTACAATAAATAGCAGATATGTCTCCTCAAAAGATGTCATCACAAAAGACAGCTATATAAACAATTGTAATTAGCACACTTCTAAAAACAAGTTCCGCAGAAAACATGGGGATAAAAAGATGCATCTTTCCTCACAAATAGTAGTCAACATCTTAAACAAGGGCCTCAGGCATTCTGAGACATTGAATTTAGAAATTAAGTTTTGGTCAATGAAGCAATTTGTTACAGATGAAAGAGTGAGATGCTAAATTGCTAATTAATGATCAGTAAGCAAAATCAGATTGTGGATTTCCTACTCATATCTGCTTTTAGTATTCATTCCCTAGTTTGGTATATGTATGTTTTGGTTTTTTTTTTTTTTTAATGAATGATAAAAGAGGCAACAACGGGGTGTCAAGTTGCCAACTCTATAGAAAAAGGACTAGAAGCAAATATTAAATCACCAAGACCCTTACAAGTTTTCCTTCCCAAAAAAATCTATAGAATCATCCATAATCTCATCTATGAAATCAAAAGAAAGTATGTTCATATTGAAGCTCTTCACTCCAACTGTACAAGATCCTCAAAAAACCAATAAAAATGCTTGGACTGGTAAGTCTTTCCCAATAAAAATCTATAAAATCCTCTCCATACAACTTTCGAGTACACGACCATATAGTCGATGGAACTAGCTTACACATTTTCCAGTTGAGGGTCCTTTCTTCAGATGCAGCCATATAAATTTACAACACATTCAGTTCTATATTTATCTACTGTCTTCTTTCCAGATTCAAAAAGATTTTATAGACTTATGTTTTGGCGGATATTACTATTTATTGTTGAATTTGTTCCAATTCATTTGTATTAATTTTCTAATATGTATTATTGGTAATTCCATGATTGGGATTTCTTCAAGAAGAAGAACCGAAGAAATAGACTCTTTCTGCAAAAGATCATTGTCTTGACAGATAGTTACGCATAGTCTAGGACCTCTATACACATCTTATTGTTGTAAAACTTCTTATAGATTGTTTTCCATGGCCCATGGGTCTTTCGAGAACCTTCCCGCAAGCTTAGTATAGAGAGGGGCATGCATACATGTGGACCTCCACAGAGCTTGCAAAAAGAAAGATCCATATTGGTTATGGTTGTTGCTGTTATTGCTCTTCTTAAAGTAGCTGCTGTTGCTGATACTTATACATTTACTAAAAGGTGTGTAATAATAAAAATTGCAAAATTTGTGATAGTTAAACACCGTGTTCAAGCCCTCAAACTAAGCAAGAGTCCTTTTGTAAACCACACTAAAGTGTTGTCATAAAAGCTCTCAATTTGTTGATCAATTTAACTGATAAACAAAAGAAAAGAAAAATGCAGCACAATCTAGACCAATTAAGCATATTGAATTGATATCTCAAGAGCTCACAGGGGCATCTATGGCCTTATATAGTGTAATCACTTTAAAGAGAAAAGAGCAGATGGACTTATGCAGGGTCAGTTTAGATGCATACCCATAGAATCTAAGACAATCCTTGTGAAGAGAATGGCCACAACTAGCAACTCTGCTAGCAGCTGCATGGTTTGAAAAGCTGAGTTCTAAGAATTTTCCAAATGACAGCCCCCATGCTGCATCAGACATAACAATTCTTCTAGTAGCAGGAGGAAATCCGTTAACTCGAGGACATCGAAGGCACCTATGCCACATCCAGATTTTGCCTTCCCTCTCCCCAGGTAATGGAAACTCAGTAAGCTTTCTCACAGAAATAGTAAGGCTCCCTTGCTGATGAGTGTAACAATGAATATGTGCTTCTGATGGCATCTCACAAACACGGCAATGGTAATTCTTCAATTATCCATAAAAGAGCACTTTCAGTCAAAGTTGGGCAGAGGTATACATTTTCAGACAAAAGAAACAAAGTATAATTTAAAGAAATATACCTGATCAAACAAATCATCCAGCAAAAATCGTCCTAAAGGCTTATCAAAGCTCCGATAGTACTTGATACGGAAAAGATGTGCCCTCTCACACACAACTCCTTTCCAGACACAGCGTGTCGTCAAAGACACCAATATACTATGACCATCAGAAGGTGAGGGCGGAAATTCTTCCTTCAGCAGCTTCACTTTCTCATTTTGTTCACCATAGTTTGAATCTAACAGATTTGTGCTGGGATAAGGTTCAGTCGCTGGACTACAATCATCATTCCTCTTGCAAACACTATGTCCAGATGGTACTGAGGTGCTAAAGGAACTAGCAGCTGCAAAATCATCATGAAGGCAATCATCTGGTTTTACATATATGGAATGGTTTTCTGGAAATTGTTTCGCACCTAATTTGCTGACATGCTCTGAGACACCATCTTGGGGAAGATCATTACCAATGGAATTAGGGACATCATATAATGACGAGTCCGGAGAGCTGTCAACAGTTGACTGCACAAAATTTAAGGAAGATTCCATGTACTCGTTCAAAGAGCTTGACTGATTTCTTTCTGATAAAGGAACAGTGCTTGTAGTGATTATCGAAGGAACATGTGAAACCAGGCGACTGTTTTCACTCGGGGGCCTTTCAGTGGGTGGGATAACAAGACCAGATACAGTAGAGATGGATCTATTAATGTTTAACGGTTTGTCAGGTAATGCAACAGTTATTGGAGACTTCAAAGGAAGTTCTGGCAGAGAAGCACCTTCATCAGCAAGATAAGATGTTTCTAAAGCCAAATGATATGCAGCAAAAATTCCATACTGGACAACATGCTTCACTTTTTTCAACTCATCTCCAGAAGCTCCTTTGAGCAATATCTGAAATAAAGCGAGTAACTCCCGTTAGTAAAATAAAAAATTACAAAGGTACAGAGCCTAACATCATTCTCGGGATTATAACATTAGATAGGCTGACGCCGCTGACAGAACAACTTATATACTGAAGAAAACATAAAACATCACAAGATCTGAGAAAAAGAATATTCTTTTTAGGAATTCTTCAAAATGGTTCTAAATATAAATAATATTCAGTATAATCTAGAAATTGCAAAATACTGTTCCAATTAATCCTATATCCTTTTTTTTTTTTACTTAGTTCATTTATTACATGACTGAAACAGGGGGATTGTGGATACACATTACAAAACAACTTTACCTAAAGACAAATAAATGCCACCACAATTTAGCTAACATCTGTTTATGCAAATGACTGTCGAACTTACAGTACATCCCAAGGGTTTTGGACAACCCTCAAAAAACATCAAGGTCTTTGTTAGTTTCTTCCCACCCTGATCAGCACTTCCATGTTCCTCAAAGTACTTGTCCACATGGAAGGATTCACAATAACCCAATGTTTGTGACTGTGACTTTAGATGGTCAACAGAGGGAACAATTTGCGTGCCAGAGCAGCGAGCAATACGCTCTAAGAGCGGCCTCTTGATATTTAGTACAAGAGATATGTTTCGCTCAAGAAGATACTCTTGGGCGAATCGTGATACAGACTTTTCCACCAATAAGATATTGGGATTATGAGAACTGATTTTATGCACAGCCATCTTCAGATGTTCCATTTCCTAAATATGTAAAAAAAAAAAAATTAAAAAAAAAAAATCATTAATCAAGGATTTATAAAACTATCAATTTTAGTTAATTATTAAAAAAAGTAATAAATGAAACTTGTGAAGGGAATAGAACAACAACAGCAGCAGCAGCAACAACAACAACAACAAAGCCTTAGTCCCAAATAATTTGGGGTCGGCTAACATGAATCATCATAAGGAACCATCCAACAAACTTGTGAAGGGAATACTTTCCAAAATACCAAGATGAAAAAAACTGATATAAAAGTAGATAAACAACACACAATCAGCACCTGTTGCAACAATGTGTCAAAACTTGATAAGTGGGTGGAGACCCGCTGATACTCCAAAGCCCCTCCAAGGATTAAAAGGCGCGGTCTATCAAACTTTGCAGTCATTCGCCGATGAGCAACATTCTTCTTACAAACAACTCCTTTGACCACCAAACTAAAATGGTAAAAAGAGCCCCAAAAAAAAAGAAAAAAATAAAAAATAAAAAAAATATATTAGGGGACATGGAGATGACATGAACCTACATGGTAGCTTATGTAAAAGGAATAACATAACTTTATAGATTTGCCTTCTCTAACATTTCTATGTGGTTAAAAGGACTAGTAAAAGGTGCAATTGCATGAAAAGCAACCCCAAGCTTTTAGTGCGCTCGTGAAAAAACTCGGTCAGAGCTTGTTCTTAATTGAAAAAAATAATGTCAAGCTCGTTTAGTAAATGAGCCTAACTCAAACAACTTAGGACTTGGATCATCTACGCTCGTGAACAACTCATTCATATTCTTTATATGCTCGTTCATGTTCGTTTATAAACACGTTTAAGCTCGAATTTATAAAATAAATAAATAAAAAAAGAAAACATAAGGATTTGCTAGATGAGTAAAGTCAATCGGAAGTTGTCATGTCACTAACATGTATACCAAAGAATGATCCTTATAGTTTTCCGACTATCCAATGGCCCAGAAAGCTTAGACGATCATTGTTTACATTCCCAGGAAAATAAGGTGGGTTTTGGGATGTTTACACCGGCCACGCGACAACTTATTAGTGGTTTTCTCATTCCTAATATTAGTCGATAACACCTAAACGAGCCAAGCTCGAACAAGCAAAAATAAAATTGGTTGAGCTTGTGTCCATGTGCTTCTTTTCAAATCCAGCTCAGTCAGGCTCATACTCAGCTCGGCTCGTTGACATCCCTAGCTTTTAACAAGTAAAATTAACAATTGCGGCAACAGAAAAAGGTTTTTTTTTTTTTAAATGTCAAAGAATATGATATTATAACATTACTAGAAATAACTCTAAACTGATGAGGTTTGGAAGGTCAAATGTTTTACCCTAAAGTGGAAGACAGACTATTCTAAATTAGCCAGAAAAGGGTCTAACCAGGGGCAACAATGGCTTAAAATGGACAAGAACATGCAAAGTAACTGGATACAAAATACCCAAAACTTCAATACAAACTAACCTGTTACTTCGTTTCCCACATGCTAGGCATTTCACTTTTACATACCCACCAGGATCCATCCCACTACCTTTGGTCATGTCTGGCTTAAGAAGTGAAGCAGCCTCCCATGACAGAGAGGTGATTATGTCCAGCCAGCTTTCTTTGTCGTCGTCATCCCGAACAGGAAGATTTTCAACTAGCAAAAGCTGTGTTATGAGTGCTCTGAAATGCCCACCAACAACATTTCTCATAGCTTTCCGATGTTCTTCGTTTGCTTTTTCCCTCTGCTGAAGTTCACCGGCCAAGCTGCTTGAAGAGCTCTGATATCCCCATTCTCCAGCTCCATCTCTGTCGTCCTCGTCATCAAAAAGATCGGATTCTCTGTCATCATCTTCATCTTCAGGCTCTGGAGGGATCCAAAGTATCCCATTGTTCTCAAAATCCAAATTATCTGCATCTGCATTCTCAATCCCATAAAGTGAAGCTTCAGATTCATCATTAGTATTAGGAATGCCTGGTTCATTCCCAGAAGCCTTAATCCCTTCCAGAAACTCTGAGCCAAAGACCACAGACGACAAAGGACTAACTGCTTTTCTATCATCACCTTCTCCATCAAAAGCTCCTTTGCATGATCGATACATATTGTCAATTTCATCAAAATTAACAGCACCAAAATACCCCCCATTTGCATTCTCCTCATCATCACTCCTAGAAAAGAGACGCAACCGAATATCTAATTATCAGAGAAGGTGCAGCAAATATCAACAAAAGTGTGATCTGATACAAAAAGAATGAGATCGGACATGACAACAGAATAAATTAATAAGAAAACCAAGGGCAAGATTACAACAAATACACACAACTAACATGACAGTATAGCCAAACTAACACGACAGTATAGCCAATATACAATGTCCATTTCATACAAATCACTTGAGTTGGCAGTTAGCTAAAATGAAATATACACAGCACTAACAGTAATTTTTAAACAGATTCATTATTATACATCAAGGTAATCAACAATGAGTCAATTATGTACAAACTAGCCCAGCTGCTCGCTACTCTATGTTGCAACTGCCTGTTTAAAGTAACAACAGCCTTTTTCTTAAATAAACACCCCCCCCTCCGGGTCACCCATATTTCTGGTGCATAATATCTTGGAGTCAGGACCTCAATGTGTTGAATAATTTCATTTCTAACACAAGAGCTAGGATATGAAATTTAAAAGCTGTTGTGATCTCAATGCTAAGTCCAGATTCATAAATAAGAGAGAATATCCATCCTGCTATGGGTTCCTGTTTCTAAACTATATATTACACCACAAATTATTTCAGCAAATCAGCAGAGATCTTAATTGTGTTGTTATCATCATCGTTTTCCACGGATAAGGTAACTAAATTGTTTTTATCTTCATGAAAATACCACAGTTACCACTCGTAAGGTAGAAATTCTAATATTTTGACAACTCTTGAATCGTCTTCACCATTTACACTCTTGAAAAATACTCAATTGTTTTATCAGGATGACTCTAACCAAACAAGGAAAGACTTATCAGGCCAAATTCATCAGCAAAGTCATCGTACAGAAGTTATAAGCTCAAGGAAACCATTTACTACAGAATAAAACAGAAGACTACTCGCTCACATTCCTCCTAAAACCCCCTTCAAAAAGATTGCAAATAGAGCCGTTTGGGGGTGGGGTGGAGGGAGTCAATCCATGTAACTTAAACAATGCACACACACTGCAAGTTCACGGAAGCAAAGAAAAAAACTAAGAGAATAAGAATTTAGAATTTTTTTTTTTACAAAAAAAAAATTGCTTGCTTCCTTACCTTACAAGGGGAGCACCAGCCAGAACCAACTGCTAATACATGGTAGGCTTGGGAGCAAGGAATATAGCAATATTATTATTCAAGGAAGGCCTGCTGATTTACATATTTCTTGGTTTTAGACCATATGATTTCTGATCAATATTGACAATTCAATACATCAACGAAAAACAGAAATGGGTATGGCCAAATAAGTGAGATCATAGGGCAATAAATCACAACTTCATCAATGACTCCCCTCTGAAGAACAGGGATTTGCCCCAGTGAGAGGGAGGAGAGAAGTAGGTCTAATTGATGCATCGGGAAAAGTGAGTGACATGCTCATTAAATCATACTCCCTCCGTCCCTTTTTTTTTTTTCCTCAAAGGCATATGTTCACTTTATTAAGTTTTGGTTTTTTTTTTTTTTAGGAATTTATTATGTTTTGGTTGATTGAAGTTATAAGAGAAAAAATTGGTGGGACCAAAAAATTGTTTGGGAGAGCAAAGTAATGTCCCCAATAGCCATTTATGGAATGGAGCGAACTTAGAGTGTGTTTTATTACTTTCACTTATTTGAACTTATTTTAGTTGTAATTTGTAATTAGGTAATCCTTATCAAAACTTATTTTTCCTAAACTGAACTTATTAGACCTAAATTAAGAGAAAATAAGGTGAAAAGAACAAGCCATTAAAGGGACAACCCAAAAAGAAAAGAGGAGCAAACTTTAAGGGACAGAGGGCAATACGAAATTGATACTTTTAAGTGTGCCATTGAAGTTCCATCAGAAAAGGTTGGCCATATACCTGAGCACTAATTGTGCTACGAAACTAATGCTGCAGTTTTATTAACAAACACTCCCCTTTTTTCCCAATCCAAACTACAACAGCATCTAAACTACTATAAGAAAATCTGATATAAAAAATAATAAATAAATAAACTTTGTGGAAAAGAAATCAAAGTAACTTGTTCTCGATTCACGAGAGGCTGCTTTGAATCAACTCATATATGTCAGCATCATCTTACACTCCAAGTACAAATCTTAAGAAAACAATGAAAATATGAAGGGCTAGAATATCAAAGAAAATTAAGGACAAATCTATGAAAGGATAATTCAATTAAAAGAAAAAAAAATAAAAAAAGGCAGTAAAGGTCTTAGAAGGAAAAAAGTACCTATTAACACATAAACCATATTGGTTATCATTTGAAGATAGATCCCCAACATCCACATATGTATTTATACTGATTGGATCAGACGCTCCATTGTTTTGATTATGTTGTCCTGATTGGGAAGATTGCTCAAGATTTGTAGAAGAACCATAGGTCACATGCTCGTATGGTCCAGTTGAGTAGGCCATTGAATTCACTGTACTTGCGATGCTATCACCAGTAAAGCTGGTATTAAGACTCCCCAAGCTAATAGCTGAAGGAGATGGACTAAGCCCTGGACTAGAAGCACCACCAGTTTCATGGTTATCGGTCACCAATCCTTGCTCCCATTGCCTGAAGCAATAGTTACAAACCCTGATTCTATCGCTATCCTCTCGATCACTCTTGGACTCGTCCGAAAGGATTGGAATTGAGTGAGCCGTACACTTAGCACAGAAAACTCGACCACAGAGCCGGCAATGATGCCTTCTATTAAACACCGTAAACTGGGAATCACACTCATAACACACCCGGCAGCTCTGATCCGGCATCCAAAAAACCCTTGACACATTGGCTGGTTCGCATTTCCGGGGACCCCAAAAATTCACAATACCCAATAGCTTTTTGTCAGGGGAACCCATCGACGACGTCGAAAATGTCCCCTGACCAGTCTCATAATCATATTTTCATTCCACCCAAACCCCAACAGTAGCAATAGCTAATATTCAATCAATTCAACCACACCCACAAAAACTCAAACAAGCTTTCTCCCTTTTCCCACTTTAACCCAACCCACGTAATTACTATAAGCTCAGCAACACAATATCCAACAGTAACAATCACCTGTAAAAGAAGTATGAACATGCATATTTGAATAATATAACCTTAAAATAAACTATAAAATTGGGAATTCAACTCTTACCTCTGTGCAGAACAGCAAGCAATTAGCAACTCAAGAAAAACTGCAAAATCCCCAGAATCAAAACCCAATTAAAAATTACAAAAAAAAAATAAAAAAAAAATCATATTCACAATTAACAAATCCGACTATGAAATGGGGTATACTGAAATCATTCGGAAAAAAATAAAATAACATAAACCCCAATTTTAATTTATTTTAAAATAAAAGAAAAAACAAAAAAAACAAAAAACAAATATTTCAAATTAATTCAGTCCACAAACTATATAACATCAAAAATTGAAAGTAACCTTTCTTCTAATCGCCACAAAAAGCTTGAAATCGAACTGCCCAAGTATCAATTTCAATTATATATTAAGGAGTATAAAAATGCATTCAATGTCATAACCCAGAAATTTAAACAAAATTAATAAATTTACCTTATAAATTTAACAATTCTGCAAAATTTCTCACTTTTATCTCTTGTTTGATTAATCAATTGTATGAAAAGATCAGGAAAAAAAATCCAAAGTGAGTTCTGTATCAAAGACCACCGCAAATTTTTTTTCCTATATTTTATTTTAGGTTGAAAAAATATAAATAAAAAACTGAAATACTAGGAAACAAATGGTGGCCAGAAAATGTTTTATTGTATTTTATAGCATAAATATTGTGTTAACTAAAATCCAATTAATTAGGTTGATGAAAAAAGTTAAATTAGTATTAACTGGATTCACAAGAATCATTAGAGTCCATTGGAAAGGTGAGTGTTGAGTCATCAGTGGCGATATCTCTTTGTTTTGACGGGCCGTTATTTTTTATTTCATTGCCACATGGCAAAACCTTATAAACGTTACCGGCATTATCCGTTGTCCCAAAATAATTGACATAGTCGATCTTTGCACATACGTTATTATACTAGTTTGACCTTGTTTTAAAAAAATTTAACTAATGAAGATTATAAAAAAAAAGTTAATATATTATAGTGAAAATTAATACTTTCTCTCTTTTTTTTTTTTTTTATAGTTGCAACAGTTTGACTTTTACACTATTCATGTGTTCCACTTTGACTAGCTTTGATGATTTATAGCTATGCAAAAATATAGTCATGTGGAATTTTGTTAAATTCGTCTCGATTAATACTTTTTAAAAATCAAAAGTTTATAATTTTTACATATTGGTAATTAAAGATATTAACAATTGAAATCATGCATCAGCAAGCGTAAAAAGAGAAATGTTGCAACTAAAAAAAACAAACAAAGAAAGTACATGATTAGTGAAAAAAAAAAATAAAAAAATAAAAAAAATCAACATGTCAATTATTCTGAGACGAAGTGAGTATGAACTTATTTTTTCTAATCTGGTCTACTTAAAATTTATTTATTTTTATACTCCATAATATCTAATTTGATTGTCTGAGATGACTAAATTTTGACCATATATACATTGATCAGACAATCAAAATTATTAGATCTGCACATTTTTTGTATATGTAATTTGCATAATATTTATCATTGTGAAAATAAAGATACGGAGTATTAAGCAATAAAAATTAAACAATAACCAACAACTCATGCCAGTATTAGGCTAAGCAAAAAATTTAATTAAAAATGGACTTTTAGGTTGCCCAAAATCCAAAAAGAAAAAATTAAAAAGTGCACGTAGGTAGCTTTGATCAAGTCTAATCTTAAATAAGTAACAAGTAAATTAAATATGGTGAAGTAATACATAGCCCAATATATGTAGACTTTGTATTGTAGACTATCCGTTTCAAAATGAATATATCATTTTTCAATTTTGCACTATTCACATAAATTAATTTGACCAATGTTTGTAATTTTATACATAAAATTAATCTAGTTCAACCTCAAGTATTTTTAATTAAAATAATACTAGATTAGTGTCCGTGCAATGCACAGTAATAATAATCTTTTTTCATAAAACTAATTTGTGATATAACATAAAAATGAGGCAAAACAAATGCAATATATATAAGAAAGATGAAATTGAGGAGAAATTTATAAGGATCTCTAAGTTCTTCTCTCTTTTCTCTCTTCTCTCTCCTCTCTCTTCTCTCTCTTTAGGGTTCTAATTTTTTTTGGCCTTTTAGACCGAAAATAGTCTAATTTTTTTTTACCCTTTTTCTTTAATGCGCTTATTTGTTATTTGATTTGTTTTGTTCTCTCCGTTTGTGAGAGTCTGTCCCAATTTTCTAGGATTTTGATTCTCCTATGGATGAAAATTTTATTTTTAGGGTTTTAATAATAATTGAGAAGGTGATTTGGATTTATATGGGTTTAGGGTTTATCATCAACTCTACGATCAAAACATCAGCGCAAATTGCAAAGGTCTCTACTTGGAAAGATACAAAGACATCGAAAATCACTGTTCGCGTCAAGTTTGAAACGATGGATTGTGAGCTATGCCTGATATGCAAAATAGTTATGATTTTGATTGTAAAAGTTATGTTATTTTCTCTAGATATGTGGTTTACAAATCTTTATTATTATTGTAGATGCAGTATGGCTATTTACTATTGATAATATTCTTCCTGTAAAAAAAAAAATAAAAAAAAAGGTGAAATAAAGGCAAAGAATATTAAAACTACGATTGAAAAAATATATTATTGTTGATTAATTGTGTTGAAAATATTTAAAGATAGTATACATTATATGTTCATAAGATTTCAAATCAACACCATGAATAACATAAATGTTTTTTTTTCCATTTATATATATATATATATATATATATATATATATATATATATATATATATATATAGGGGAGGGATCCGGTAAGAACCCATAGTTATATAAGAATCTTAGTTATATAAGAACCAATCACATCCGTAGGATTAGATTAGGATGAGCGGTCAAGATTAAAACAAAAAACCTACCCCTAAACCCTCCCCAACCGTCCAATATTTTCTCTCTCCTCAAACTTTCAACCCTCTTTACTTTCTCTCTCCACAAATCCCAAAATCTAGCCCAAATTGCTGCTAAAACAACCTAAATTGCTCAAATCAGGTACATTTTCTTCGATTTTGTTCTAATTTTATGAATTTCGCATGATTTTCATTACTGATTTTGTTCGATTTTTGCGATTTCTATACTCGATTTTGTTCGTTTGATGTTTGATTTATGTTCGATTTTACTATTTATATACGTTTTGTTCGAATTTTCCTGATTTATTCGAATTTTATGATTTATCATTTTTCATTGTTGATTTTGTTCGATTTTCGCGATTCATCAATTTGACTTTTTTTTTTTCCCCGATATCAGTTTTCAATTTTCTTTTATTTTCGATTTCATCAGTTTGATTTATCAATTGCGGTTTTTTCGTATTTGTGCAATTAGTTTAATGTCTATTAATGAATGTTAATGGTTTTATGTTTATTATTTGTCTTCTTGTCAAGTATTATATGTCTTATAATCAACTGTTGCATTTCCCATTAGCGGTAGTGTGATTTGTGATGATCATGAAATGAAATGCTGCTTTACTGGTTGATAGTGAAATGGTGGTTTTACGTGAATTATTTTGTTCGATTTTTATTTTTTATTTATGTTCGAATTATTTTGTTCGATTTTTTGCATATTAATTAGTTCGATTTATGTTCGAATTATTTCACCGCTGCTCTTGATTATTGTATATCAGACTATTAGTGCAAAATGTATTATACTTCTCTGATTTGTAAATAAGCTTAGCATGTTCCAAATTATTTCTCAGCATGTTCGGAACTCTTTCTCAGCATGTTCGAAACTCTTGTTTATGATACACCATTCTTTTATATATGTTTATGAAAAGATGCTATTTGCAAAATGCTGACAAGTATCTAGCCAGCTTGAGACTTGTAGCTTCATTCTCTTACTCTGAAGTCTGAACTGATGTACTTTCCACTAATGAGGTTTGTGATCTGATATCAGTGTATAGCTAAAGTTGCTTTGGTGCCAATAGTTACTGATCTTGACTGAGATCTGATTCCCAACTGTCAGAATAAATGCTTGAATCTTGCAAAAATGCTAGCTCTTTTCTATTCAAGGTGGTTTTGTATTCATATTGGAACAAGTCTCGTTTCCTTTTTTATTTTTATATGAGGTCTCTTCCCTTAATTGGGAATAATTTGAGGAAGTTGGTGATTATTGGTTTAGAAAGTCTCTTTCCTTAATTGGGAATAATTTGAGGAAGTTGGTGATTATTGGTTTAGAAATTGCTTGAATCTTGAAAGACCTTTAAATGCATTGGACTTGAATGAATCTTTCAAATAGTTAAAACTATATAATGTCTACAAAGACAACTTTTGTAGTACTTCTTGTGCGGATCAGTTAGACTTTCATCCTTAGTGACATTCCTGAACAACTTGTTTTTGTGATGCCCTTGATAAATGATGTCCATTGCAAAGGTATATTCATTTATTACGAAGTACTAATGAAGCTTCCATTCAAATAGTACTAATGAAGTACTATTTGGATAATGTATACCTAGATTTAGTGCAACAAGAGAACAAAAATTAAATCTACCTCTTGCTAGTGATACCTCTTGTTGTGTTCTTAATTGTTAGTGATATAATTATGATATCATGTTCTAAACTATTTTCAGCATGTTCTAAACTATATTCAGCATTTTCTAAACTATTCTTATGTTTAAAATATATTACTAATGTTGGAATGTTACTAATATTTTTTATTTCTTAAAATTACAGCAAAATGCAAGGCTAAAATGAAGAAAAATCAGATGAAGAAATTACTATTATACCAGATAAAAAAATTACTTATGGAAGAAAAAGGTAATTAAAGTTTATGTATTACTTTTCCCTCATGTTCTAAAGTTTTCCCTTATTTTCTAAACTTTTTCCCTATGTTCTAAAGTTTTCCCTTATGTTCTAAACTTTTCCCCTTATGTTCTAAATTTTTTCGCCTTATGTTCTAAAGTTTTCCCTTATGTTCTAAAATTTAGTACATAGGGAAAAAGTTTAGAACATAAGGCGAAAAAAGTTTACAACACAAGAAAAAGTTTAGAACATTGGGTGAAAAAATTTAGTATAAAGGAAAAAAAGTTTAGAACATAGGGTGAAAAATTTAGAACATAGGAAAAAAAGTTTAGAACATAGGGTGAAAAAAATTAGAATATAGGGAAAAAAATTTAGAACATAGGGTGAAAAAATTTAGAACATAGGGAAAAAAGTTTAGAATACAGGGTGAAAAAATTTAGAACATAGGGAAAAAAGTTTAGAACATAAGGTGAAAAAATATAGAATTGAGAAATTTTAAGATTATAGATAGAAAAAATTTAGAATATTGGGTGAAAATTTTCATAATATAAAAAAAATTCAAAGCATAGACGGAAAAATTTAAAGTAATGGATGAAAAAGATAATAGGAAAATAATTTAGAACATATAAAAAGGCGTAGGTATATGGAAAAAAAAATATATGCTAAAACCTATTAGCTCAATTGGTAGAGCACTATGCAAATGCATAGAGGATGTAGGTTCGATTCCTATATAGGTTATCTCTATAAAAAATTAAAAAAATAATAAAAAAAAAACTTTCGAAAGTAAACCATAATAACTCAAGAGTAAAACATAAAAATAAATCAAATTATTTTTTCAACTTATGTTCTAAATTTTTGTTTGCTTATGTTCTAAATTTTTTTTTATGTTCTAAAATTTTTTTTGCTTACATTCTAAATTTTTTGGTGCTGCTGGTTCCACTTGCTGCTGCTGTTTCTGCTTGCTGTTATTGCTGTTTCCTGTTTTTGTTCGGGTTTTTTTTGGCAGTTTCTAGGCGTTGGTGTTTTGGTTTCTATTTGTTATTTTATCTTTGGCCTTTTCTTTTGTTCCCCATTTCTGGCAATAATAAAGAGTATAGTTCATTCTATATTATGGGACTGCTTTAGCCTTCATTTTTGTGTTGTCGATATTCTTCGCATTCAACTGTCTTGTTTTGGTAGGACAATAAGCTGGTGCATTCGAAAGTCTGAGCCTCTTATTGGAATTCCAATGGTTAAGGTGATGACTTCCCGTCTTGGGTCAGTAAACACAATGAACTGTCAATTAAACTTTCAGTTGTGTGTTGCAGGGATTATGCTCATTCAGGAGCGGCATGTTTAATTATGCTTAACTAAACCTAGATTATGTAACGGTAATGACACGATTGGAGCATTGTCTCATATTAGGGAAAGGTTAATTCACAGCTAACCTTTGATTCAAATACACTTAATTCCTACATTGAGTGCCGTTACTTACTCGTTACATTCTACTATCCCAAATTTTGCACAAATTATTGACATTGTTACTAATAAAACTTTAGAACATAGCTAGTAAAAATTTAGAACATAGAAAAGAAAAACAACTTTAGAACATAAGTAGACTAAATTTAGAATATAGGCAAAAGAATTTAGAACATAGGTAAAAGAATATTTAGAACATAGGAAAAAAAAAAAAAAACTTTAGAACATAGGTAGAAAAAACTTTAGAACATAGGAAAGAAAAAAAAAACTTTAGAACATAAGTAGACTAAATTTAGAATATAGGCAAAAGAATTTAGAACATGGTAAAAGAATATTTAGAACATAGGGAAAAAAAAAACTTTAGAACATAGGTAGAAAAAATTTAGAACATAGGAAAAAAAAAACTTTAGAACATAGGTAGAAAAAACTTTAGAACATAGGTAGAAAAAACTTTAGAACATAGGTGTAGAATATACGAACAACTTTAGAACATAGGAAAAATTTGGGACATGAGAAAATGATTTGCAACATAGTAAAAATTTAGAACATTGGGAAAAAAATTAGATCATAGGAAAAAAAATTGGAAATTTAGAATATTGGGAAAAAAATATTGGGAAAAAAAAATAAGGGCATAGAAAATAAGTTTAGAACATATACTAAAAATTTAGAACATAGTGTGAAAAAATTTAGAACATAAGGTGAAAAAATTTAGAACATAGATAGAAAAAATTTAGAACGTACAGAAAAAAAAAATTAGAAAATAGGTAGAAAAGATTTTGAACATAGGATAAAATTTAGAGCATACGGAAAAAATTTAGAGCATACGGAAAAAATTTAGAACATAGGAAATAAATTTAGAACATAGACAAAAAAATTTGAATATAGGATATATATGTAGAACATGGACAAAAAACTTTAGAACATAAACAATAAAATGTAGAACATAGGAAAATAGTTTAGAACATATATATATTTAGAGCTTAGATTGAAAAATTTAGAGCTTAAGCAATAAATTATAGAACATATGCAAATAATATTTAGAACATATGATAAAACCTATTAGCTCAATTGGAAGAGCACTATGCAAATGCATAGAGGATGTAGGTTCAATTCCTACATAGGTTATCTTTATAAATAACTAAAAAAACTTCAAATGTTTTTTTTTAAAAAAAAAAAATCCAATAAAACAAATTAAATTAGCACTAAGTTATATGAGCAGAAAATAAGTAGACTAAATTTAGAATATAGGAAAAAAAACTTTAGAATATAAGTAGACTAAATTTAGAACATAGGAAAAAAAAAATTAGAACATAGGTAAAAGAATATTTAGAACATAGGAAAAAAAAAACTTTTAAACATAGGTAGTAAAAATTTAGAACATAGGAAAAAAAAAACTTTAGAACATAAGTAGACTGAATTTAGAACATAGGCAAAAGGTAAAAGAATATTTAGAACATAGGAAAAAAAAACTTTAGAACATAGGTAGAAAAAATTTAGAACATAGGAAACAAAACTTTAGAACATAAGTAGACTAAATTTAGAACATAGGAAAAAAAAATTAGAACATAAATAGACTAAATTTAGAACATAGGAGTAGGCAAAAAAATTTAGAACATAAAAGAAGAATTACAGAAATGCCATTACTAAAGGATCATTTTAGGTGGTTAGATCAAAACTAATAAAGGGCTGAGATTGGTTCTTATATAAGATTGGGTTCTTATATAGTTGTACAATAGTGGGGTTCAATATGTAATTTTGGCTATGTTATTTTATACTCTCCACCATATATCAACCTTCTAAATTATAGCTTATTCTCCCTTAATTAAAAGGTCTCAAAATCTTGTGTAACTAATTAAACACGAAATAAAAAGGAATACAATTATTATAAACGTAATATATAACATTAAAAATAATATTATTATATTTTGTATTATACAAATATTCCAAAAATAAAAGATTTTGCTGAAAGTGAATGAGGGAGTTTTAGAGGGAAAAAACAGCACCGAAAAGTGACACGTGTCATTTCTGGTGTTTGTTTTAGTATTATGTTATTGATTGATGATTAGTTTAAGTTTGATTGATTAACAAATGTGTTATTCAATTGAGGCATTTATTTTGAAATAAAAGAGTTCAATATACTTCGTAAGTTTTAATACAATTTAATAAAAAGGAAAATGCTATGCACAGCCCTCAGGATTCAATTTACAATTTATAAACACATGGTTCAATATACAACTTAAATAAAGTTATTTTAATAAGATAATATAAATTCAATTAAGTGAAAATCATATGAATATTATCTTGTTCACTATTCCAATTGGCTATCGGCTATTTTTTTACTCTAACAAGTTATTTATGTTAGCTAGTTTGATAGGTTGTTTTCACTATTGGTTGTTTAAAATTTTGTAAATATGTTTAATTTGTATTTAAATGAAATATACAATAGATGAATAGATACACTTTTTAATTTTCGCGCTATTCAATTACTCTCTCTGTTTCATAATAATTGGCATAATCAAACTTGTCAGACATGCCCGTGAAAGGACAGACTAAGTAGCAATATGCAGAATCAACTCGTAAATTTGGTCCTGAATGGGGAGATCTGAGATCATGGAACATTTGGTCGAAACTCACTGAAATAGTAGTTACAGATAATCAACTATCAAAGAAACATTGGATCGTTACGCATCATGTTTCTAAATACCCTAAATCTAAAAAATTAATTTACAAATTCCTTTGGAGAGAAGCCAAATTCCATTGAAAGAACTGGTAGCAAGTCCACATCTGCAATGTCCAAAAGAAACAAGGGTTAGGGAATGACGACATTATTAATTTAAAACCCCAACCCAATGATGCATCAATCAGGGGAATAAAATGAAATGTCTATCGAACACAGCTTTTTTTAACAATGAACTTACTACAGTTAAAGATATGGACCAAACATATTGTATGATCTTTGGTTATTATATATATTGAAAATCTCACATATGACCTGTTTCTAGAACTTCCTCAAATAACAGATTGAGTAATGAATAATGATGAACTCCCTGAATTTAGAAAATCACAGCCTCTTCTCACTTTTACATTAGCCCTCCATCTTTCTCCCTTCACCCCTCCCTTCGCCCACTACATTCCACCTTTGCCTCTCTCTTGCTCATGCCCTCACTGCCACCTGCCTATGCTATCCTCAATCGTTGCCGCCTTTCCCCTTCCTTTCCATGACTACAACAATTTTTTTATTTTTTTATTTTTTTTTTACAAAATAGAGAAAGCGAAAAAACAATCCAGTTGTTTTTCCAATTTATCCAACCCGTGAATACCCATATTCTTTAAGAACATTTATCATACTTTTGAAACCATATAAGTAGTTTCATACTTTTATCAGACTTCCTTCCACACGCTATGTGTATAAAAAAAAAATGCAATTCTTACCAGTGTTTATTTGATTGTGAATAGTGAAGCTGCAATTATAAGCATCTCCTAGACAAATACATACAACTCTTAAGTCTTACCAGTGTTGTTAGCACTTAGCAGAATGGTGAAGTGGATGTATTTTGCAAGCAAGTAGACATGAGAAAAAAAAGATTAACTAGATGGCAAACTGTAGAGCTCACAAAGGAGTCCAATGTAGCATCAACTTTACATAAGTTGGAGAAGGCAGCCAAATATTACACTTTAAATTAAGCTAAAAAATCAGCCTGGTGGGGGTGGGGGGAGTTGTTTATGAAAATAAGGATCAGCAACAAACCTGTTCCTCTACAATCAACAAAATTGAATCCCGAAGACTACAGCCCACAGTTTTTACAGTTATGGTATCTATGGTCTGTGTTAATGTTACCACACCTGTAACAAAAGGCAACTCCACACCTGTGTTCACATGGAGGAAAATGAAGTAAGAGTAATGATGCAGATAGCAAAGAGCCATGACAAGGAATGAGATAAAACAATGACAAGGAATTGCAGATTGAAAAGAACTAAGATAGGAATGACAGAGAACATTGATTTACAAAACGGTTCTTTTCTACTATTAATAAAACAATATAGCCAGAATCTGAATGATTGAAAATCATATAATATCCATGTTTAAGTATGGTATGGCAGCTCCTTGATTTAGGATAAAACTCCAAATATTGCAATCAAGTTTTCTTGCCCAATATGTGTCAACTATTCAGCATCTAAAGTTCTAAACACTAATCAATTATCACGACTCAAGATACGTCTTGTCCAATATGTGTCAACTATTCAGCATCAAAAGTTCTAAACACTAATCAATTATCACGACTCAAGATATGCCTATAGGGAGGAGGTATATACAATACAAACATTAGTTGTCTTGCCACCAGTAGCTTACAAAATATAGCCACAAGGCTGATAGTTTGAAATAGGATTTCATCTCAAAGAGTTTAAAACATTCGATCATTTAGTGATATGACTAACATATATTTCTATAGCAATTGGGCTGGACAGCAAGTTGGTCTTCAAAAAGAATCAACCAGTCAATGTTTACAACCCCAGAATGGTAAAATTCAGCTACTCTATGCACATCCAATATCCACCCAGAATAAAAGAGTAGCATGGCAGGCTCATAAATATATATACGAAGTATTTCTTTTTGAAGATTGTGATCACAAATTAATGAAGAGGAAACAATAATAAGAACATATTTCCCTTCGGACCCCATTTGACTAACAAAAGCACAAACCATTGAACAAACAATTCATATGCACTATAGGTGTAGAAGTTAAGTATTATTGGATCAATTGTTCCAAAAGAATTTAGCAGTAATCCTACGATGCCACGGAAATTGATAATACTACAATTTTGGATGAGTTGCTGCCTAGAAGAAAATTTATCATCTCCCATGAAACAGCAAGGATAGGTCGAAACAATGGGGCAATAAATGGGAGTTTAGAATGGCAACTTACCTGCATTTCATATAGAGGCAACCCTCTGACTTCTCCACATAGTACTTGCACTTGGGACACCTTTGCCAGTTCTTAGTCTTAGCAAGTTTCCTCAACATGATATCCTCTTTCTCCCTCTCATCCTTACTCAGAGATTGATACTCAGCACACCCAATGTCTGCATGCCACCCAACCTTACACTGCGCGCAAAACAATCTAAAGCAACTTGGGCACTCAGACATTGTCACCTTCTCAAACCCGTCATCAACCAACAAAGCCGAGCAATCCTTAAACGGGCAATAGAACTTTTGCGTGGCCAGTATCACAGACTCACACAGAAGATTGCCCCACCGAGCAAAAACCTCAAATGGGAGTATATCCCTACAATACTCTGGCTCTAATACTCCAGAACAACTAGGAACCGGCAATTAATTACAGAAACACCGTCTTGAAGCTTCGAAGCAACATAAGTTTTCATACAATCAGAGCAATACGAATGAGAGCAACCCTTTATCTTAAAAGCCTCCTTTTGGGGCTTAGAGTCAGCACAAATTTCACAAAGAAACATAATTTCAATGGGTTCAATTTCAGCCACCATTTCATCATCTACCTCAAATTTCGACCCTGACGATTCACCTACTTCAGTAATCGACGGACCACTAAAACGGTTTTCTCTTCTTCCTCAAGGAAGCCGACGACACCAACGGCCAACTATAAGGCCTCACATTGATAATCCTAATTTCATCATTATCATCATCATAATCATCAACACATTGTACTGAATTATAATCATCAACAATAATCGAATTTTTTTTACCCAATTTAGGTTTAATTTCCTTCAATTCCTCAAGACAAATTGGGTCTTTCTTATGATTACCTTTAGGCGTCAAATTTCTCTCTCTTTTCACAACAACACAATCATCATCATCATTATCATCAACGACAACCCCATTATCGCCATAATCGTCATCATTCAACTCAATTACGTTATTCCCAGAAACAGAGGTACTAGCTTTGTCCTTAGAATTACCATTCTTACGATCATCAATTTCAAAAATTAAAACATCATTACTTACAAATTTTTGATGATGATGATTTGCCCTTCTGTTGTTGAGTGAAGAAGAGGGATGAAACGATGGATTATCTAAATCAATTGGTGCGAAATTGGGCGGAATTGAGGTTGATTCAGGGTTTAGGGTTTTGAAAATTTGGGGAAGATTCTTCTGGACGATATATGGAGTTTGGGTTTCCATTTCACCGCTCAAACTTGCAACTACTGGCTACTCGTTTCAAATTCTGAGAATTAGGTTTTGAAAATTTACCCTCAATTTATTATTTACTCCATGTGAATATAACCACATTATAAAGCTTCCCTTATAAGCTATGGAGTACCAACGATATTTACTGCTCCTCTACTATAGTCAATTTATCGTATACTAGTGAGTAACCGGACGATGTCCCGAGTTGCTAATTTGTGTACTTCTTGCTTTAATTTAACAATTATGTTTAATTATTTGTACGTGTGTGTAGTGGTTCGGGCGTTGCCTCGGATGTCACTTTTTTTTTCACATCATATGTATTTATATTCTAATCTTGTGAAAAATAATGAACTATATTACTTCTAATTTACGTAATAAATGAAAGGAATATATAATATTATGTGAAACTTGAAACATTAATAATAGTTGGCTGAGATGGTAAATGTATTACTTATATGTATCGGAGGTATAGATTCGGGTGCTTTTAAAAACATATAGTGAGATAAAAAAAGTATACATAAAATAATTTATAATTCTTTTGAATTTTTTTTTTTTATTGATAATAAAATTTTACTTATTGCAACACACCACATATAAAAATTAATATGAATATTCAATTATCAATAAAATTTTACTCCTATACAAATAACCACGTAATTATAATTATAAATATGACCATGTATCATTAATTTTTTTAGTCTACCATTGATTTACCATCAAAACTTTTGAATTAAGTATTCTTCATATTCGGTTGTAGTATTTTTGTGTATGTTTGTGATTTTGTTAATGAAATTAAAGAAGTCAAAAACTACTAAAATTAGGACACAACATAAATTGTACAATACAAGGAATCTTAAGGTGAATACAGATCAATGTTAGCAAGTTTTTAGAATTTTACGGGTTTTTCACTTAAAAAGCGTTTCAATATTTATTTTTATTTTTTTATGCTAATCATATTAATGCCAAATGTCGCGCCACGTAAGCAACAAATAAGTATTATAGTGACACATATGATGTTAAGTAAGCGAATTTTGGATAGATTTGGTAAGATAAAGATATTGTATAGATTTTTATTATCGATATACTTTTAATATTTATATATACAAAATTAATCATAACTTTTAATAAAATATCCTATTACTCGGTTCTATTTCCATCATAAAGTTCGTTTTAAAAAATTCTTTAAAATAAGATCCATTTATAATTTTGGTTTGGTAAAATCAGTTCAATAAAAATAATTTTGGTTTGGTAAAAATACTTTCAGTTGAGTAAAAATAATTTAAGTTCAATAAAGATAATTTCAAGTCAATAATAACATAGATATCTATTTACAAACAAAACTACAAAAAGTTTACTATTATATACATACGCAATATAATATCATATGTCAAAATATCCTGCATTATCAAAAGGGATAATAGGACCATATTTAACATCCAAGCAAAAAAGTTCATTCTAAAATTTTATCAACCACTTGGGCATCGCCCGACACAAAACACGAAATATTTTATATACACCCGAGTGTATCGTGCACCCAATTAACTCAAAGTTAGTTTTTGATATTTATTTGATGATTAAATGAAAAACAATCATCTCCTTTCAAAAAAAAAAAAAAACAATCATCAAAATGACAACAAAATGTTTATGGGTGTACCGTGCACCCAAATATATATAACAATCTCTCCACAAAAGTAGTACTATAAAACATTAAAATTGTTTAGAACTTTTAATTTTCAACTAAATATGTTGGGAAAGTTTTAATATCACACATGCTAACTTTTATCACCAACTTTTTTTTTGTTGTTCACCAATTGACAATCATGGGAAAAATCGCATGGCAAAATACATTGTTATTTGTAGTTTGGTTCAATCTTATTATTATTATTATTATTATTTTTAATTTGAGAAAAACAATCTTATTCTATTTGAACTCTAATATAAGGTAAATCGCAAAGAGATTCAAAATTGCAAAACTCAACAACACGAATCTAGTTTCATTTGATTTAATTACTCATTGCTAACCATTAATGTTCATATTGTAAACGGTAAAAAGAACACAAAGGTAAATAAGGCAAATGTAATTTGATCCCGATTCTTAAGTGATACAGAGTACAACTTTTACCAACTATGACAGTCAACATCCATTAATAATGTACTCCCTCGTATTAATCGCAACACTAAGGTGTTCAGACCGTTCACAAAGTTTAAGAAATTTTATAGGGGACTTAAAAGAGGAATTTTTTAGTAGGAGAGAAAAATAATAAAAAAGTAGTATAAGTAGGGTTGATAGGAAAGAAAAATAATAAATATTTGTGAAAGTGGGGTTAGTGAAACAGACAAATTATATAACAATTGTGGTCCTTTCCAAATATAGAATTGTTCCAATTAATAAGAAATGGATGTAAATGAAAAGTGTTGCGATTAATACAAAACGGATAGAGTATTATTTTTATGAGGATCAAGGAGTGAAGGGACGTTTTGTCCCTCCATCTCCTCCAGAAATGTAACCTTTTACAACCTTACATGTACTCCTGTAGCTATATATATATATATATAATTTAAATTTTTTTTTTTTGGTTTTTAGAGAGCCACAAGGGCGGGTAATGAGAATCAATCCCAAAACCTCTTGAAACCGGAAGGAGAGCTATCCTTCACTCTCTCACTCCCGTACCTAATTACCTCACCGCTTAAGACCCTGAAGTATAAAGTTTACAGGGTTTTTCTATATAGTAGCCCTCTAACTTTTCGTTTTCTACGATGTGGGCCCCCTTTTTGAGAAATCCACACTATAACCCCAAAATACATTTAGTTTCTATACGGTAACCTTGTCGTTAACAAATTCCGTTAGTGGGGTCCACTCTCCACTTAATAATATTTTTTTATCGATTTGCGTGTTGGAAATTGTTCCGTTGAAGGTTTTGGGGCTATTTTGGCTCTTATGGGTCCAAATTGAGCTTAAATTTTGGAAAAAACATGTAAACGCCGTTTTTTGCGTATATAAAAATGTCTCGATTTGCGTGTTTACATATTTAACATGCAAAACGAGACATTTGCGTTATTTTTTTTTGCCAAATTTGAGCTCAATTTGGATCTTGAACAATTTAAGGACCAAAATAGCCCCTAAAACCTTTAACGGAACAATCTTCAACACGCAAATCGATAAAAGAAATTTATTAATTGGAGAGTGGGCCCCACTAACAAAATTTATTAACGACGGGATAATAACAAGGTTACCGTATAGAAACTAAATATATTTTGAGTTATAGTGTGGATTTCTTAAAAAAGGGGGGGACCGAAAAGTTAGGGGGTTATAACGTACAAAAAAACCCAAGTTATAACACAATCAGAATCACCCCAGCTAAAGCAAAACTCTGTGTTCTTCCTCGGCGGAAAATCTTGTAACGAAATCAAATTTTAAAATCAAAACCCTAATTATAGAAATTCTTCTAAAGGTAAACATTTTTGCTAATTTCCGAATTTGTGTTCTCCCAATTAATATGCTCCAGCAGTTTTCCAATCAAAATTATGATTTTCTGATTCTCTATTTGTGATTATCGTAGTAAATTTTAGAAGCAAGCTTTAATGGCGGCAGAAGAAGATTCAATTGAACAAGCAGCAGCAGAGAGGAGAGAGAGATTGAGAGCTCTTAGAGCAGCTCAAGAGCTTTTCGAAACCCCAGATGAAGATTCGTCTCAGCCCAAAATCAATTCTGAGGATGGAGATGCTGATAACAATGAAGACAGGTTTTGATTCTATTTCTGCTTTCGAATTTTTCTTTTACATTGATTATAATCCTTTTGTTGGAACTATTGATGGATTTTGTGATTGTGTAATTTGCGCCCTAATTGCTTAGCTTATTTGATTATAATGCTTTCCAGTATAAATTTTTTTATTTCGATTTCGAGCTTTAGGGAGAACTTCGTGGAAGGGTTAGTTGATATTGATGAGAAGAAGAAAATATGAGTAGAGGATTGAAGTGGCCTTTAGGGCTAGCAATTACTGTGATTTTAGCAGCATGAGCTAAAACCTTGTGTTAATGGTAAAATTCTGAGTTTTCGAACAAATCGATGATACTATTTTCGGAGAAGTGACATTCGTGCTGGTGGTTATAGTGGAAATAGAGATTAGTGTGGGGATGATGGGGACAATAAATTGGGTTACGCTAGAACATGAAGTCTTTATGAGAATGGATAGGCTATGCTCATTTTCGTTTTCCTTTTCTTTTTCCTCATGCTCAATGCCTAACACAATATGCCTTCCATCATCTAATTTGCCTTTCTCAAAAGTGAAGAGTTGCAAGAAAATTTTGGTTAAGAAGTGTCAAGTATTAATGCACTACTATGTTTCCTTTTCGTCTCTGCAAACTGTAAAAAATTACCATTTTTAATTTGATTAGCTGATCCCTCTGCCTTATAAATAAAGAATAGCTGATCAAGATTCTGCCTCTTGTACTTCGCCCTAACAACAATAAACTTGAACTAGTTGGTCTTCAGGTTAGACAATGGGAGTAGTCATCTGCTGTAGCCTTCTAGGTTAGCCATAGCCTGCCACTCTTTCCTGCTATTGCCATTTAGTCATCTGCTGTAGCCTTGTAGGTTGGTCATAGTTTGGCATTCTTTCCTACCATTGCCATTTGCCACAATATGTTAATATGCTAGAGTCTACATGCCATGAACCTGAAGTATTGGTTGTTAATTCTGAAAATAGGCATTCAACTTTCATTCTGTTTTCCCTCCTTTTATGAGGATTCTTTGTGATGGTTTGAATGACATGACTGCTTTAAAGTTGGCACTTAAGTAGAATTAGTTCCAGCTAGTAGCTCGGGTTAATTAAGTGTTATAATTACTCAATAGGTTTTGCTCTATCGCCGTGCTTTTGGTTGCAGGCTTTGTGAGGACAAATTGTTAATAATGTGACAAATTATCCTGTCCCTTATACCCGATTTCGTGATTTTCCATATCCTACTTGATGTGCTTTTAGAACCTCTAAATTAGCTAATAATTTGAAATAGTGGTTAAGGAATCCATTTCCTTGTATCAGGATGATGGTTACCGGTTATTTACTGTGTCCTACTTGGTGCTCTTGGAACTTTTAGGTTACTGAAGTGTATAAACTTATTTTTTTGCAGTGGTCTTAACTTGAAATTCCGAAATTACCTTCCTCATGACAAACATCTACAAGAGGGTAAACTTGCTGCACCAGAACTACCAAAATTTGAGGATCCTGTTGCTGGGGCTCCTCCGCCAGAAGAAAAAGAGGTTAGCTTCTGTGAACATCTGCTGTTTATCATTCTCATGATTGGGAATAGTTTGTATGGTACCTTGACTTTCTTTTGGAAGCGTACTAACATTGCAGCGCATGCAGGATCCTTTTCTGAACATTGCACCGAAAAAACCCAATTGGGACCTCCGGAGGGATGTGCAGAAGAAGCTAGATAAACTAGAAAAACGGACACAAAAGGCATTGCATAAGCTGATGTGTATGTTTCTTATTTGCTTCTAACATGTCATGTTCTAAATGTTTCTATGGATTAAAAATGCCTAGTAGTTGTGCTCAGTTGCTCGTACAGTCGTACTATAAAGCATTATTATAGGGCAATTTGTTTTAGTGCCTCATCTGGGCTCCAATGGATTTTGAACCCTGATTGCCTAAAGTCTGATGATTGAAATTTTGTTTCTTTAGGGAAGGCTGTATACCTTTGGTCACCAGTATTACTGTGATAAGATGTTGGCCACTAGGCCGTAGGCTGTGCACCATTGTTCACCAGTAATACTGTGGCTGTAGGCCACGAGCTTGTCACAGTTAAGGTTCAAAAGTAGAGGGAATTATCATACATGTATGACTATGTAGTTCTGTTGGTCAGAGTTCTAGCACTCCAAGCAATAGTAGATTGCAGTATGTTTGCCTTTCTAGTAAATTAAGTCTTGCTCTTGGGAAGGGAGTAGCCGGAGTATTAGAGTTAGGTGCATGAACATGTGGTGATTTCTATGTAGTAGGTTAGTGACTGAGGTGGGTCAGGTAGCGATGGCATACTGGAAGGAAGTTGGTGGTGCAAGCATCATCCACTTCTAAAATTCGTACAGGTACTATTATGACGTGGTGGAAGTGGTTTTGCTATTTATTCCTTGTTATACATCATCCACTTCTTAATTTCTTTTAGGTACTACTATTGGACTCTTTTAGGGTCACCCACCCCAAGCTCATTTTTGGGTATATTAATTACATAGTGTTGACTCTCATAGATTTGAGCTTGTTCCTGTTGGGAATGGTGACTAATGGCTTATATTTGTCAGGCCTAGAATAGTTGTTTATTTCTGATGGAAAAATAAGTGTTGAGTATCCATGCAAAAGAGTTTTTAGTACTCAACACGATTTGTAAGGTGAACCCAAGGATTTGAGTTACAGCTAAATGAGTAAGATTTTGCTGTGGAAAAGTTTAAGAAAAGTAAATAACATTTAAATGATTCTTGGATAAAAAGCTTATTATTTTAAGATAATGTAACTTTTGTTTTCCGTATGACATTCATTATTTTTAAGTCAAGCCTTTGGAATTCTATGGACAAGAGGGTTTAGGGGTGGTGAAAGTTATCTTGCTGGTAGAATCATAATTTTCTAAGCTATGAGCACTCTGATGACTGATCTGAAGATACACCTGATCAAGTCTTTGGAATTCTGAACTGTGAATATACTTTAGTATTAAAGGACTTCAAAGGTGCATAGGGTGTACTTTATGCTATTGAGGTGACCTTTAGTTATTAGTATTTCAAAATTAGAAAAGGTGATTTTAGTTTTACACACCCATCATATACTACAATGGTAGTAATTAGCTTCACTGGTCTTTTTTTAGTATTATTTCTGAGGTTGAGATTTTGTTTAAAATTGATCTAGGCATGTTTCTGCCTTTCTGGTTATTGCAATTGCTTTGCATATAAATCTTGCAATAAAAATGGCTGAAAATATTGTGTTGGATTCTCGTGTATGGTTTGTGTAGAAAGGTTACATATTCATGTTTCTCAATCAGTAAAAAATCAGAGCTGCTGAGAACAGTGGATTAAACCATCCTCTTTTTTTTTTTTTTTTTTTTTTTGTTGTTGTTTAGAGAGCCATAAGGGCGAGTGATGAGAATCGATCCCAGGATAACCTGGAACCGGGAAGGGAGCTCTAACCACTTGAGCTATCCCTCACTCTTGGATTAAACCATCCTTGCTTCATGAGTAGCTCTTTGGGCTCTCATCTTCGTACTTCCTTTGGTCCTCGTGATTAGTTTGGTGCTGTTGGTAGTATTTCTATCTCTATACTTCCAAATTTATACCATGATATGAGGTAAATGTACCCTTTATGTCTTTGTAAAACCCTTCATCCTACCGAGGGAATAAAAAAGAAAAGATTAGTAGGTGTTCTTAGATACACAACGTAGGAGTTATTTTTTCAGGAGAGTGAGGATTACTTTCCATTACTGGGTCATACTCATACCATTACCTTAGTGCTTCTAATGAGGCTCATGCATGGGATTTGTGCAAGGGGGTCAATCATACAGATCTAACCTTTGAGGCTGTAGTTACAGTGAGTCCATTCCAGTGCCTGGTGTATCTTTAGGATCCCCTTTTCATAATCCCGATTCATGCCCGAATTGTTTACTTTGCCCTTAAGATCTTATATAGCTATATAACATGTGGACATGCTTGTCATTTAGCTCTTCTGTTGATGTTACAACATTGCTGAGTTTTTTGCTTCAGAATGGTGGGTATTTGGACTTGTGTCAAGTTCCATACCGAATATTGCTTTAATTAGAGTAAATGTAGTAATTATTTGCTTATCTGTTTTCCATAAATACAATATAACTATGTGCTACTCAGGAATGAGAAATTATTTAGTACAAACAAGCATGATTGCTTAACCATCTGCTCTTTTTTCAGTGGAACATGAAAAGCAGAGGCAATTGGAGGAGGGAAATGCAGCTGCTGAAGAATGAAGTCCCCCAATCGACACCTGATCTTTCGACCTTTTGGTATGGAGACTAGCCGAGATGCTATTACTGTTAAAACTGAGTCCAGCAGAAACCCTTTCTATGTAAATGGTAAATTGCAGCTGAGACTTGCTGACTGTCTTCATAAATCTTTCTACTCTAGGTATTTAGTAAATCAAAGAAAGGTTGGCTTCTTTAGACACTTCTGAAGCATCAAGTTGTACTGTTGAGAAGATTATGCTTAGTATGATTATCTATTTGATGCTATAAGAATTGTCATAGGAACTGCACCTTTTTTGGCTTTTTTAGAGAGTAAAATCTTGCTGTAAAGATCATCTTATTCATGTGACACTTAACTTTCAATTACTTCTAAATTTTAATTTCCAATTGTTATCAAATGTCGCGATTACATAGGTGTATGGTTGATTGACTTGATTCATTTGGGTAAAGCCGTATAGGGAACCTCATATCTTATAGTATCACATGTCTTCAACCACTCAAGGCAATTAAGCAACTCAAGCCATCCCCTGCCCCCTCCTATCCTCCACCGAATTTCACTGCGATTTCCAACGTTGACAATGTATAACTGAGACGTAGACGAGATAACCTTTTCTCTTCTCTTCATCATACAACGATCATTGATCTGCAAATGCAATAACCTTTCCTCTTCTTTTCATCTTATTGTAATCAATATAATATCAATACCAATAATTTTAGTTTGAGGATCTCAATTTCAAAATGATGATTGTTTCATGAAAGTCTTAACCAAACAACTAAAATTCTTAGTTACAAGGATCTCAATCATTCTGCATCTAACACCTTTGAGACTTCAATCTCTAATATGCTTGTCATTTAAGTTTCAATTCTCCCTAAATTAATCGTTTGCTCTTCTTTGGAAAAAAATAAAAAATTTCTTGCTTTTTAGGTTTGTCTTTAAATCCACCCATTAAACACTTCTTAGTAGTTTTTTGATCTCCAAAGCAAGTGTGCAAAAGGTATAGAAGTACAATTTTTGTATGGATCTAATTATTACGAAGTTATGAACTCGAGTTGCCTTTTTGATGTTCATGTCAATGTTATAATTATTCAAGTTACCTTTTATATATTTTTTTTTTAAAAAAAAAGTTAAATTTAATGTATGAAAAAATAGCTCCAATGCTAATAAAACCAATCGATTCCAAATATAAAATAATCTATAATTAAATGCATGATAAACTTATTGTAAACCCGGTCCACATAAAAGAAGTAACGAACAAGCCCAAACCTAATTGATCTTTTGGAGGTCATATAAAAGGAATGATTTTTTTGTAAAGTTCTTATTTAGGAAACAAATAATTAACTTATTTATCTTTAGGAGTTTTCACTCAACACAAAGTCTTGCAAAGTAGGGTTTATAGTTTTGCTCACCCAATCTTCATAGTATTAAAACTCCAAGAACCTTGCATTATATTATTAATCATGGCTGATGGATTATCTTCACGTTGGAAAAACCTTAAAATATCCCCTGAAGAAAAAGAATACGTAGACCTTAGAGTAGAAGGTGCAAAGATGAAGGATGTACGTTTATCTTTATGTTTACTAGGACAACTTATTACAAACAAGAAATTTAACAAAGAAGCCATAAAAAGAACACTTAAGAATGTATGGAATCTTTCGAACGGGATTGTAATCCGAAATCTAGACTATGATATCTTCATGTTTCAATCCTTTCATTGGAAAGACATGAAGAAGGTACAAGATGGCGCTCCATGGTGCTTTGATCAACAATTGTTGGTGCTTAAAGAAAACGAAAGTGGCAAGCAACCTTGGCAAGTGGAATTTACACATTCTTTATTTTGGTTAAGGATGTATGACTTGCCCTTTGATAGTAACACGGTTGAGGATGCTAAGGCTGTCGCGAGTAGGGTAGGGGAGGTAGTAGAGGTGGATGAGATTGATGAGGTAGGGTGGGAGACATCGTTTAGGGTACGAGTTTTGATGGATATTAGGAAGCCTATAAGAAGATGGCAGAGGATAAAGAATAAGGCAGGACAGGATGCTTGGGTTGTGTTTAAGTATGAGAGACTTCCTATGATTTGTTTCGAGTGTGGGTTAATTGGGCATACTGATAAGGATTGTATGTTTGGAGGTATTAGTGCACAGAACGGGGAGACAACACTGTATGGGATGTGGTTAAAAGCTTCGCCTTTGAAGGATAGAAGTAAAGCAAGGGAGGAAGTTTTAGAGCTGAAGGCTCGAGGTCCTTTGGAGTTCATTCCATTACCAGAGGCTATGATGAAGGACAGAGAGGACATGGATAGCTACATTGAAGGTACGGAGAATATGATGCAGACCAATATCAGCACGGTTACTAATCGGACTAACAGTAAGGTTTCGGGGAATATGCTGCAGACCAATATCAGCACAACTGGTGCAAGCACGAAAAATATGCTGCAGACCAATATCAGCACGACTGGTGCAAGCACGAAAAATGTGCTGCAGACCAATATCAGCACAACTGGTGCAGGTACGAAAAGTATGCTGCAGACCAATATCAGCACAACTGGTGCAGGTACGAAAAGTATGCTGCAGACCAATATCAGTACAACTGGTGCAGGTACGAAAAGTATGCTGCAGACTAATATCAACGCGACTGGTGCAGGTACAGAGAATATGATGCAGACCAATATCAGCACAACTGGTGCACCGAATAAGCAGGGTGAGCAATGCATGGATGATTTCGAGTTTCAATTGATGAAATGGGAGTGGAATGACATATACTCCTAGAGACTGATAGATATCACAGAAGTTAGATTAGGAGGAGATGGTTTGAATACAATAAACCTTGTTTGCAGCAAGACAATAATGAATGAATTGAACTAGCTGGCTCATTCATCTATTTTCTTCGTTTGTTCTTTTGGCTAATTTATATCAAGTCTAAATCTTTTACCTAGCTTTTTATGTTTTGGACTTCTATCATATTTTATTAGTTCATGTTCATCTTATGTTAAATAAACTAATAGAAGTGGGAACATTTTTCATTAAATTTTGGTTCTGTTTAAGGTGATGGGTATTGGTGGTTTTGGGCAAATTTAAGTATGATCTCTTTCTAAAATAGCATTGGAAGGGTCGTGTATGGACTGTCCGATCACAAAATCAATGAATCAAATAATTTTAAAGGTAATGAAATCTATAAATATGAGCTCGTGATATAGTTTATGTTAATTGAAAAATATACTTGAAAATAGTTTGTGATATAGTTTGATACAATCTGAAGCTAGATGTATGTACAAAAGTTTTGTTTTTACACAAGTACAAAGTACAATGCCATTCCAGTATATCAGTATATGCTGAAAGACAACATCAGACAGTAAGATTTTATGTACCAGGTAACACAAACCCCATATCCAAAAAAAAACGTAATGACTCGTATTGATGGTCATACAAGAGTTGTGTAATCACATAGCATATTAAGTCAGCAACTTAGCAAGCTCATCTATTTTTAGACTTCCCTGGGGAACTAGATCTAGAAACTCCTGTTCAAAATCTCTTTCCTTGTGAGTTGTAGAGGTCTTCTTTTCCTTGTGAGTAGAGGTCTTCCTTTCCTTTGACTTCTTTTCCTTTGGTTTATTTACAGGACCTGCTACTGGTAGTGCTTCATCGGCTTCTGAATCCCCAGTTTTTTGGTTTTCACTTTCTTTAATGGCCACCTTCCGAGGATAGTATGTAAAAACAGGTCCAGGTGGGGCTTCAAGGGAAAAGGAGACTGATCTTTCATAAACCACGTCTGCATCTAAGGAACTGGTATCAAGTATCACAGCTCTTCCACTTTCTACAGCCTGTCTTAAAAGGTACTGTACACCTTCAGTGCATGGGGAAGATAACGCGGGATGAGGGTTCGCTGATGAGGTCTCTAACATGCCTTGCGTCCCCCCATAAACTGCTGAATCACCAGAAGAGTTCCCAGATGACACTTCCAAGTCAGCAGTACCATCTACATCTAATTCAGAACCAGAAGGACTTAATAAGGAAGTAGGCTCCCTGTCATGAGAAATACTGTCAACTATCCTAGTTTCCTTGTCTAATGAACCAGAAGCAATGATGTCACCAGAAGGATTATCGGAATCTGATATGACTTTATTTCCTAGGCCACTTATCTGTGATGGATCAGCTTCATTGACCTCCAATGATGCATCATCTTTCACAGAGAATTTATCATCCACTTTCGTAACACCCACGTCTAGATCATCTGCCAAACCATTGCTTCGATTGGACATTTCAGCATTTAATCCCTGATTTGAAGTATTTGAGGAACATTGGGAACCTTCTTCATCCTCAGAATTCAAGGAGTGGCCATAAGATGCAGCACTGTCAGCTTCAGAACTTTCTTCACCCTTTGCACCATTTTCAGGTAGTAGGAGAGACGACTTCCAGTCTTTTCCTCTCCACATAAGTATGTGTTCATTTTCAAATGAAATCAATACACATGGGACAATATCCTAAAGGCACAGAAGAAGGGAACGATTCCATTAACACAAAGAAGAATAGCATATGTCAATACTACTCAAAGTGAATAAAACGAGATAAAAGTAGACCTTGAGTTTTGCGCCAATTTTACGGCAGTCGCTGGGGTTCAATCCTTGACAATTAACTCTAACCAACTCACATGCTTCAAATGCTTCTTTTACGTTTTTCGCTAAGCTGGCATATACACCATTTTTTCCTGTTAAGCAGGACAGCAAACAAATATTATTTCCATCATTAATGTAATAATGAACCTTATCTATCATCCCCTTCCCCCTCCACCCCCTCCCCCCCCCCCTCCCCTCTCCAAAAACAAAACAATTATTAAAACCATTGCAGAAGCACAAGCATACCAAGCTTGCATATTGGTGTTAATTCGCGTCCCCTTTTTCGCATATCAGTTGCCTCTTCCAACGTCAACCCTTCTGGAACACGTGCGACTAATCTGGGATACACAGGTGTAACAGGTTTCCACAGCATAAGAGGAAAGCGAGGTCGAGTTTTGTAATTGTAGTTTCTACCACGGAAAAGGAATATAACACCTCCATGACGGTGTATAATTTTGCCTCCAGTCCTTTCCTGCAACAAATAAAAACTTAAGTTGACAAAGTCCTTCAGGTAAAAATCATGCAGGATAATGAATAATTTTGTAATTTCTTTTTTCAACGATTTATCTTCAGTATAATGGAGAAAAGTCTATGAGTGATGACTATTGATTACTATACAAGCACCCACTCAGAAGCACATAATCATATTCAAATTGATAGGAAACATATGTTAATAGTCAAACAAAAACCTTTTTTTTAAACACGGTATGCAGATTTCATGAAGCAAGCTCACATGAGTCAAATGTGTCTTTTTCACTCAGGTCAGTTAGCTGCTACCACATCAAATAAACTTGCCAACCATTGTTGTAATTTGAAAATTCTCTCTAAGAGGTCTAAAACTTTAAGCTTTGTAGTTACAAGCTATTATACAATTTTGCTTATCAAGACTTTTAAGAACTATAAACCAAAAAACCTTGTAACTCTGTTTAAAACTCCAAACAGGGCAAACATCAGGCCAAAACAACTAGGAAAGTAGGCAGTTTGAAAGCAAAAACATCCCAGAAACTTGGGAGGGGAAAAAAAAAATACTTAGTGTGATCATCAGCACACCAACCTCTAGTTGTTGGCACACATTATCCATGTCCAAAGTACAAACCCCTTTGCATTTTATCTTACAAACCCTCCGCCGCTTCCAATGAGCATGGATGTTATCCAACATGTTGTGTGTCAAACCATCTCTACCTACAAAAAACGGGCTGAATTTAATTCAGAAAGGATGAACCAAACATTACACACTTCAATGTCAATCGTCAAATGCAATAATAATTCTAATTCTATACCACTAATTCACTCCAAATCCTTATTGGAGGATAATAACTAGTATAACAAAAGAAAATCCATGACAGAGCAAGAACTCCACACTTCTTGACAACTCCATTCAATCAGTTAATTATAGTTTGATTCCTAATTAGAGAGTAGTATTCGATTCAATTAAACCCTACCTATACACCACATTGAAGTCACAATCTTAATAGCATTAAAGCAGTCGCACAAGAACACAATGCTAGACATTTACATTTCTAAAAAAATTTCCCTTTGATCCCTTCAAACACAACCACATCTATTCAGAAGGAATCAGGATAGTCACTAGCGGAATAAGTAAAATACAACCCTGATTCGTTCCAAGCTTAATATAACTAGAGGTTTCCTACAAGTGGAAATTTGAAAGGACCGATCCTCAATTACAACAGCTAAAGTCTCCTTTTTATATTCAATCATCACTTGATTACCAAAAAAAACATCGATCATAACATGAGGACTAAAAATTCCATTTCCCAACACCCCTCTTAGGCTCACACAGACATCATCACAGTTATAATCTGTGCAAGCTTCACAGTGTTTACACTTCTTAATTCTTATGCTAAGACTCGGTCTTAGAGTCAATCTTATCAAACATTCAATTCACTCAATCATCAGTTTGAAATTTACCACAGATGACAATTTCACTTCATAACTAACAACCAACAATCCAATTCAACCCAGTGATAGGCAAACTTTGCTTCGCGGCTACAAGTTTCCTTCTTTTTTCCTATCCCTTTCCTTTTTCAGTTAGATTTTGCACTAGCCTAATAATAACAATGTCTCATAATACCTAAAGTACAGCCTACCTAGAACCTCAACACCTCTTGGCACGAATCGAACCAATCACCCTTTCCACTTCTTGATTCAAAATACATTCATACTTATAAGAATATTTATGCAATAAAAACACAAACCAAGCTAGTAGTTTCTCCAACCTCAATACAAACACAAACATATAATCAAAACAAAATAAACAAACAATAACAAATTCAATCCTTACCCATATTAAGCTGCCTTTTAGTCTTCCTACACCCTTCCACCAACTCCTTAATCTCTTCTGCCGTCAACGGCTCCCCAATCACCTCCTCCCTAGACACCACATACTTCGGACCCGAACCCGGCAGATACGGCCCCGGCTTCTGAACAGACTTCACCCCTTTCTTCCCCGGCTCCGGTATACGAAACGAATCAAACTCCGGCAACTCCTTCTTACTCCCAGGCAACGGCTTCCGACCAGTCCATGGACGGCCCAATGTCCCCGGCCCAAACGGCGAAACTGCGGGCTCCCTAAGCCCAATGGGCTTCACATTCTTAGGCGTCTCAGTATAACTATACATATACTCAAACGGAGCACCTGGCACCACATACGTCACCCCATTTTCCCCAACCCTTATATCCGTTTCACCCCCAACACCCGTTTCGGGTAATTTCACCCGTTTCGCCACCCTCCGAAACGCCGGGTGAGTAAAATTACCCTTTTCAGAATTAGGGTTTTCCTGGGGTTTTGAGTATTTCGATTTTTTCCCAGGAATTGACGAAATTGAAGGCTTCGAAGGGGTCCCAATTGATTTGAAATTGGGGTTTCTTGGTGTTGCGACGCTGGAATCAGCGTCGTAACTAGCTGAAATGTTGAGGGCAGATTCAAAGCGCCGGAAACGACGAATATCATCCTCGATTTGCTGCTGGGTACGGCGATTTCGCTCGAATTTCTCGGCGTTGGCGTTGTTCCAACGAGCAAATCGAACGTCGGTTGTTGAAGTGGTGGTTGTTGAGGTGGTAGTTGGAATTGGCGCGAAAATTGGAAATGGGATAACGGTTTTTAGCGCCATTTTTTGGGTGTGGAGTTTTCCGGCGAGGTTGCCGGCGGATTTTACGGCGTCGTATTGAGGAGAGAGATTGAGGAAGAAAGATTGGATTTTTATGGTGGAGGGAAGAAGATAAAGGAATTTTTTTTTAAAAAAAAATGGAAAATGAAATAAGGATAATCTTTGGTCCTCTCTCCTCTTGCTAACAGGTGACTACTGTCTGACTGAAGCTGGACAAAAATGAGAAATGCAAGCAAATCTAAAGTTTAGTGAAATTTTCGTTATTTTAAAACCAAAAACTATTGTGCATGTCGGGTGATCGAGTTGCTAATTTTTCCATAATTATGTTTTTCTAGTGTTTTGATAATCATATTGAACATTGAGCGATTTCTATGGAAATTGCTAAAAGAAATTAGAATATCACCAATATTTTTATCAAAATTTCTTACATACCGTCCATGTTATATGCACTTTAAAGATGATTTTTTTTTGGAGTTTAGAACAAAATCGCTAATTGAATTAGCGGTTTTATATAGGGTAAAATCGCTAATTAGCGGTTTGCCGGTTTATTTTAGTAACAAAATCACCTTATAAAAAATTGTAGCTTATAAAAAAAAAACATATTTAAAGAAGATGACGTGAGCGATAGGTTGGGAAATTTTTTGTAAAGTAGCGTAGTTGTAGAATTTTGATTTCATTTAGTAATGTTCATGGAAATTACTCTTGAAGATTTCATATTTTTGCTCTTTTACTCTAAAATAACCAGTAATCCGATAAATGGATAAATATTCTTAATTTACTTCCTTTTTTTTTTTTTTCTTTTCGACAACCATCTCCAACACCATTATGACAAAGGGGAAGGAGAGGGGAGTTTTTTTTGAGAGAGAAGACAGTTAAAGAAGTAATGGTCTATTGATTTACTTTACATGACAACTGAATTTAGAAACATTTAAACATTTTGTTATGCCTAAATTTTCATCACAGGTTCACTTGTTCAAAGGTTGTTAGGTTACAGGTTATCACATAGTCAGCTATCCAGTTCCAGGTTCTAAGCGAAGTCAAACAAAGACTCTTCCAAGGAATATTCCAAGAGTATCTTGAATTGAACAAGTCAACAAAGGTAGCCAAGAATATCGGAACCATAAGCATTAGTTTGCCGTGAAGACTAGTTCAAACTACAACGAATAAGTCCTCAAAGATAGTGGCGAGGAAGTAGGAACTACCTTGACCCACTAGCTCCGGATTCCATGGAATCCGAAATGGAGCCGTTGAAGTCTTTCAAGTTAATTCTTATGCTATAAATAGGAAAATAATCATTGTACAAAGGCATGACAAATATTCTAGCCTTATTACTCATAGCAATTAAGTATTCTTTAGCAATCCTAAGCATCGTTATTATCACATTGTAAACCTAAATTGTACTTATTTCAACCTGACAGCCTAGTGGATTGGTGGACTCATTGCCACCCGCAGTTTTTACCCTTATTCCTGGGGTTTTCTGCGTCACCATTCTGTGTCTCTTCTCCCCTTTCCCTTTTGCTCATTACTTACATATCTTTTATCTTGATTTCTTGAACCTGCATTGTCATTTGCATTCCTATCAATCTAGCTGTTGTCTTATTGAGCCTGGTCTAATCCAGCGATTAAATTTTGACCTAAACAATTTGGTCAATCGCCATGGCCGAAAGTCCTGATCGAGATTCTACCATGGCCGAAATTGTTGAGCAGTTACGGGAAACCCGAGAAGAGTTAAGAGCTGCCCGGGAGCAGAATCTGAAACTCCAGAATGAATCTCAATCTCATTAGGTATCCTTGGAGAAGGTGAACAAGGAGCTTGAATCTGTCAAGAGCAACAAGAAAAGGAGGTTCACAACCAGTGATATTCCCCAGTTTTCCCTAATTTCATCCGATGAATCTGAAGGGGAAGTAGATGATCCCAAAAAAAATGATAAGGAATCTAGCGAAAACCCTGACCCTATGGCCCAGGAGGTGGCTATTATTAAGGCCCAGAATCGGAAAATGATGAAGCTCTTGACCCGGCTACCAAGTGCGCCAAACCCTGTGGCTTATGAATCTCGTGATGGGTTTGCTGAATCCCTCTTTATGGAAGAAATTGCCAAAGTCAGAATTCCCATGAAGTTAAATTTCCCATCCTTCTCTAAGTTGTACGATGGAACCACTGACCCTCAAGATCATATGGCCCAGTACAAGCATAAAATGTGTGGGAGCTTCTGCAAGTCCTTCGGCGCTACTTTATCAGGACTTGCACTCCAATGGCTGATCAACCTGAAGCTTGGATCTATCAACAACTTCTCTAGTCTGCTGAACAAGTTCTATCAGCAGTTTGCTACCAGCAAAAAGTTGGAAAAGCATAGCAGTGACCTATATCGAGTCGTCTAAAAGCATAATGAGACGACCAGACAATATTGGGACATGTTCAATAGAGAGATGGTCAACATCAGGAACTGCGATCATTTAACTGCCATAGAAGCCTTCCGCAAGGGTCTCAATTACCATTTCAGGTAATATTATGATTTGACCAGATATCCTTGCGCCTCTTTTGAAGAAGTTAGAACCAGGGCAATGGCCGAAGTCCATGTAGAAGAGGACGAGCAAGCAAGAAATCTGGTTGAGAAAAGGCTAGTTGGGTATTCCGAAAATCAATATTCAAGACCTAGGCAGAATAACTAGCGTGAAAATCTGAGGCGCAACAATGTGAGTAGTGTGTCAGATTCAAGAATAAGTGAAGGCTCTAGCAGGCCGAAACCAGAAGATCATCCTGACATCAGCTCGTATGGTTTCGATACCGATACAGTAGGAGTTGTCAATGTTCTGAAGGAAATTGGGCAACTGTGAGGTGGCCTAGAAAGAGAGATAGGCCGGACCACCAAAAAGATAAATCTAGGTGGTGTGAGTATCATGGAGATCATGGGCATAAGACTGATGAGTGTAACGATCTAAAAAGAGAGGTAGCCTGGTTGCTTAAAAAGGGTTACCTGAAAGATCTCCTAGGCAAGAAAGGAAAAGGGCCTGAAGTCAAAAGAGAAGTCCTGCTAGGTCCACCAGCTTCGCCTCCGCCTATCGTCGTGATTAGTGCTATATCAGGAGGATCTAGCATAAGCGGAATTACCTATTCTAGTGCGAAGAAGATAGCAAGGCTTGGCACATCAGCTTCCAGCATCCCTCAAACCTATCCCAGTAGAGAAGAGAAAGCGTTAGATGAAATGAAGATAGTGTTTGATGAAAGCAGATTCAATGAGCTAGAGCACCATGATTGACTGGTTATTTCCCTCCATGTTGGTCATTGCAAGATGAAAAGGGTGCTAGTAAACAATGGAGCTCGGCTAATATAGTATTCAAAGATGTCTTGAATCAAGGCGAATTTAGAGAGTCATATATCACCAAGAGGTCTACGGTTCTCGTCGGGTTTAATGGTGAAGGCATGAATACCCTGAGAGAAATCCAGTTGCCAACCTTGCTTAAGGGCGTCAATATGAAGCATAAGTTCTATGTGATAGATTGCAAGACCGCCTATAATGTGATAGTGGGAACCCCGTGGATCCATAAAATGAAGGCTATCCCGTCAATCTATCACTAGCTGCTAAAATTTCCAAGTCCGTGGGGAGTAGCAATAGTCGAAGGAGATATAAAGCAAGCCAGAGAATGCTACCAGATCGCCATGAAGACCCATGGGCCCTCAATCTAGCAATTACACCAAAATCCAGCACCGGGATGCCCAGATGAGCTACAGTTATATGAAGTGGTGCTCGATAAATCCAAGCCAGATCAGATAGTCAAGATCGGAGCGGCATTACTTGCAGACCAAAAAGAAGCCATCATATAATGCCTGAAGGAAAATTCAGATTGTTTTGCTTAGTCTCATCGAGATATGAAAGGAATCAGTTTAGAAGTCATTACTCACATGCTCAATGTAGATCTCAACATGAAGCCAGTGAAGCAGAAAAGAAGGAAATTTGCACCAGAGCGTAACCAGATTATAAATAAAGAGGTGCATAAGCTACTAGATACCGGAAAGATAAGGGAAGTCAAGTATCCAGATTGGCTAGCTAATGTGGTCGTCATCAGCAAAAAGAATGGAACCTGGAGAGTCTGCATCGACTTCACAGGTCTAAACAAAGCGTGCCCTAAGGACCCGTTCCCCCTGCCTCATATAGATTCAATGGTAAATGCTACAACCGGGCATGAGCTGCTCACATTCATGGACGCATATTCAGGTTACAATTACAATCAGATCCTAATGCATCCAGATGAGCAAGAGAAGACCGCCTTCATGACAGATAAAGGAATCTACTGCTACAAAGTAATGTCGTTCGGGTTGAAGAATGTCGGTTCTACCTATCAAAGGCTAGTCAACAAGATGTTCAAAGATCAGCTGGGGGACACCATGGAGGTCTACATCGACGATATGTTGGTGAAATCGAAGAAAGCAGCTGACCATGTAGATCACCTGAACGAGTCTTTTGGCGTGTTGAGGAAATATGAGATGAAGCTGAACCCATCCAAGTGCTCATTTGGAGTATCCGCAGGTAAGTTCCTAGGCTATCTATTTACTCAACGGGGAATCGAGGCTAGCCTAAATCAGGTACGCGCCATTATTAATCTTTAATCACCTAGAAATCTTAAAGAAGTTCAAAAATTGACAGGTAGGATAGCTATATTAAATATATTCATCTCGAGGTCATCAGATAAATGTCATTTGTTTTATAACGTTTTAAAGAAAAATAAAGGTTTTGATTGGACTGATGATCACGAAAAGGCCCTACAGGACCTAAAACTCTATTTAATGTCACCTCCTTTATTATCCAAACCTACTGAAGGAGAGTCTTTGCAGCTTTACCTTGCTATTAGCGCACAAGCCGTAAGTGCTGTCTTGGCAAGGGAAGCTGAGAGTCATCAGTTACCTATTTATTATGTCAACAAAACTCTCCTTAGTGCTTAAACTAGATACTCATCACTTGAAAAGTTGGTACTAACATTAATAGTAGCTTGCAAGAAACGTCACTACTTTAAAACTCACCCAATAGTGGTGAAAACTAACTAGCCTATTAAGGCTGTGCTACGCAGACCAGAATTGATAGGTTGAATGAGAAAATGGGCAATTGAGCTAAGTGGATTTGACATCAAGTATGAACTAAGAACAGCTATAAAGTCGCAAGCTCTGGCTAACTTTGTGGCTGACTTCAGCCCTGATCTAGAGCAGCAAGCAACTCAAGAAGTAAAAGAGATC